ATTCTCTCGGAAATAAAGTTTTATGTCCTGTTCTTTGTATCTTCTAAAATCTGGATTCTCTAATAAAGATATGTTGAGAGCCCAATTTCTCTGTGTCTTTTGGTCTATCTGTGAGATTGTGCAGTCCATCCACGCATGGTCCGACCATTGAGATGGGACTATAGAAGTAGAAAGAATACGGTCTAACAAAGATGAAGACGTTAAAATAAAATCAATTCTGGTGTGCACGTTGTGTTGTGCCAAGAAATATGTGTAGTCTCTATCGTTTGGATGGGAGGTTCGCCATATGTCTAACAGATTGTGTTCTTTCAACAGAGAGGCCAATTTGGTGTATCTTTTTTTAGATTGTCCGGTATTGGGATTATGGTATGATCTGTCTAAAATGTTGTCCACTATAAAATTGAGATCCCCTCCCAATATAATATCACCCTCTGCAAACTTCCGTAATTTCTCAAGGGTCTCTCCAATGAAGCTCAGTTGCCCATTACTGGGCACATATATAGTGGCTATGGTCATCAAATGATCCTCAATTTTCCCTTTAATGAAAAGGTACCTGCCCTCTGGGTCCTGCTTCTTAGAATTGAAAGTAAAATGGATTTTTTGTGCAATAAGAATTGCTACCCCACGTGATTTTAAGTGCCTGATACAAGATATTGAGATTGAAATTTGGTGGAGCGAAATGCCATGGTTTCTGTTTTCTTGAGGTGCATTTCCTGTAGGAGGACTATGTCTGGTTTTTGTTTTAATATAGTAGTAAGAGTGTGTTTTTGTTTGATGTTATTATTCAGGCCATGTACATTTGATGAAATTATTTTGATACCTGCGTCCATTATGTCACTATGTAGATATTAGGATCTTAAGAATGTATAATCACTAGGTCAAACAAGGTAGAATTCCTCAGGTTTCTAAGATTTGTCTCAGGTGAAGAGATCGTAGCAATGCTAATGGAGTGTTTCTTTTGTGAGAAATGAGATTAATCAAATGGGTATGTAGAACAGATCTTGTCTACTTATCCAGAAGTGTAATTTAGTTATTACAATTGTGTATTTCCTGGGCTACCTGCAGTCACAGTGTGTGACAAAAGTATAGCAGTGCAAATTTGGGAAGTGAACACTAGAGGGCGTCAATTATTCAGAATAGACTGCGGACAATACTATAGGGAAATGTGTTCTGATGCCTTTAAATTCCCCGTGTCACTGAGAGAAGAATACTCCTCCTAATTTCCTGGTCTCGTCCTCCACATATGATAAATAAAGTGTTTGTAATGTGTGCTTGATTTACACAACAAGTTGGATTGAAAGATGTGCTGGCAGTTCTAAATTTGTACAACTCGTAGCAAGTTTCAATCCCTTTCTGTTACAGTTTGATTTCCTCTTGTTTGTGTCTCCCCCCTCAATAAGGAGTTGTAAGTACAATTAATAAAAGCGTAAACACTAATCAGCAATCAGATAAATTAATTCTTATAAAAATAGTAATTTTAACTATAAAACAATCAGAACAGTGCAATTAATTAACTTTAAAATCAATTAAAGACTCTATACTCTCCCACACTAAGATGAAATGTGTGAGAGGCTGGGTTTCCATCTTGGAAAGGAAACAGTCCCAGCGACTTTTCCAAAGAATCTAATCTCTAATAGGACCTAGTTAAACCCCCCAACAATCCACCTGCCCTCCCCTCCCTCCCCGACACCTTGCGTGTGCAAAATACTAAAATATATTTGATGAAAGCCCAACAAGAATACAATGTTTTTAAGGGAACTACTACTAGTGAACCTTCCCACGTGGTGTCTGAGTACTCATGATTAGCTTTGTAACTGCGGGGCTCCAGTTTACTCTTCTTTCATTAAGAGTAAACCTAAAAACATATGCTAATAAACTTAAACATATACCATAGCAGCTTCTTATACTCTGTTCTATCAGTAAAACAGAAAATCTTAAATGGTTTATGACTCCTTGAATGTAAATAGTCGCCTGGAGTCCTCCTGTTTGAGTGCCGTGTATATACAAGGTATATAGCAATAACAGTGAACATACAAGCAAAGTTGGCTTCACTACATTTGTGTGAATCTGTGTGGGTGCAAGACGCTAGTCTGCAAACCTGCCGCTAAATATTAATTTGAAGGCATATGTTAAAGAGACCAACTCTAAAACTTAACATCTACTTATATTCTAAGCTACTAAGAACAATTCCTAACTTGCCTAAGATATTTCTAACAGAAAAAGTTCTGCGATCTCACAGATTTGTCCCGTTTGCGCATCGCAGCTCCAGCGGAGGTGGAGAAGGAGAAGAGTGTCTCCGCTTTTGCGATCCCTTATTCAAGTCCATGGGAACTTCTAGATCTAGAATCTGGAGAAGCTTGGAGCCGTCTTCAGGGTTAGATGTTCTGTGCATTCTTCCTTTATACGAAAATTGCAGCACCAGTGGTGATGATGACCATACATATTTGATGCCGGCATCCATTAAGCAGTTTGTAATAGGTTTAAGTTCGTGCCTTTTTTGCAGGGCTTCTTTTGGAAGATCGGGATAAATTTCTATGACAGAGCTTTTGTAAGTAAGACCACCTTTGTTTCGTGCCATCTGTAGGATTCTGTTCTTGTAGCGGAGATACAGAACTGAGCCCTACGGGGGAGGGCGGGGTATAAATTTGATAAAAATAAATAAATAAATAAATAAGAATGTCCCTTGAAGGTCTTGTCTTCACTATGGCGGGAGATCCGAGTCGGAATGCTTTAGTTAAGATTGGAGAGATATTATTTTTCCACTCCAACTTGTTGGAAGTAGCCATCTGGTTAAGTGTGCCATTAAATCTTCTTTCTCTTCTACCTTTCCCCCCAGCCCTCTCAGTTTAAGGTTATTTTGTCTGAGACATATCTAGTCGCAAACTCCTTTCAGCAAGTATATCCTCCGTTACTTGCATTTCTGCCTGATTTGCCAGGCTATTATTCATTGCTCCTTCAGCTACTTTTTTTTTGTTTCTGTCAGATTTTTTTGAATGACATCTAGATGGTCATATAGCGGTTTGATCAGAGACGTAATTTTGTCCAAGAATGTTGCTTCCACAGTGTGCAGTGCTGAAGTTAGTTCTGCCTTTGTGACTGGGGTAGCCGTGTTGTAGTTTCCGATGCCTCACGTCGCCAGTTTGGGAGTCTTGGAGAATTGTAGGCCCGGCAGAGAAATAGGCGATTGTTGGTCCTCTGTTGATTTCTCCATTTTGGATTTTTTGAGATTTGGGTGCAGGTCTCTGTGTTCGCTTTTCCCCATGTAGCTGCAGTCGTCAATGTCCGTATGATCGGTGTGTCAGGGCAAAAAAAGGGGGGGTGGAGCGAAGAGTTCAGGTGGCCATCAGATGCTGCCGGAAGTCTCATCAATCTTTAGCTTTGACAATTAATTATCATTATGCTTTCTGTTATTCCAATTAAAAAGCAAAGTCTTTTCTTCTTTAAGGCTGAAAAGGCAAACACATATATATAGAGATATTGCTTATAGATTCCAATACTTCAATATTGATATGTTACAACACTCTAAGCTTATTTAAAATTACTACAAATCAGAAGCTGGAACGAAGTCTGAACTCACTCTTTGAAGTAGAGAGGTTCTCATAAATCTTCAGCTCTGACAGGTAGAAAGTACATCCTAAATGAAAATTGGCTAAGTTGCCTGGGACAGAAACATCTGCAGTTAAAATTCCTTTTCTTTGAAGCAAGGGCTGGAACATGTCAATTAAGTTTGATTTAATACTGTGCTTAGTGATTTAAGGTAAAGGTTCCCTTGCTCAAAAGCCAGTCGAGTCCGACTTTAGGGTTGTGGTGCTCATATCCGTTTCAAAGCCGAAAAGCCAACGCTTGTCCGAAGACGTTTCCGTGGTCATGTGGCCGGCATGACTAAACACCAAGGCGCACCAAACGCTGTTACCTTCCCACCGAAGTGGTACCTATTTATCTACTTTGCAATTTCTTGCTTTCGAACTGCTAGGTTGGCAGGAGCTGGAACTAGAGACGGGAGCTCACTCCGTCATGCGGCAACTCGGGTCTCGAACTGCTGAACTACTGACCTTCCACAGCCTGCAGTTCATTAGCCACTTGAGCCACCGCAGCTAATTCTCCAGGAGAGCCCCAAAGAATCTCTCCCAAAGGTTCCTGGAAATCAACAATAATCAATAGAAAATCACTTGAACCTTTAATTGTTCTCTACATTAGCTTCAAATTTGTTTCTGAGTTCAGTTCAATGTGCCGGTTATGACTTTTAAAACCCTTCATAGCTTGGGGCTCACATATCTGCCGCCTCCCTTAAGTTCCCATGCACCACCTGCAGTCTTTGGGCTGCCACCCACTTAGAGTGGCCTACCTGTCATCGACCAGAGAAGAAGCAGGACCTCCCCCATAGGAGAAGCTCTAGCTTTCAAAAGTGTATAAATACAATGACAGTTTTAAAAATGACATTTTTTAAAATATACATTGATGTTTCTCAGTAGGGCAGCTAGAAGAGAGTAGTTTATCTGGATAAATTAGGAAATATAAACCATGATCTTGCTGATGATGACAGATTATTTTGTTGATGGTAGGTTAACTGAGAGGTGTATAATTTGTCTGTACAACCCTTCCCCTAAGGAGCTTGGCGTTTGTGTGGCTCTTCCCCCCCACTGTATCCTCGCAATTACCCTTCTACCAGGTAGGTTAGGGTAGGCTGGAAGTGCATAGCAGAAGGTTACCCCGCTCCATGGTTGAGGCAGGGTCTCCTCTGACCACACTAAGGTGACCCCTCAGGCTGCGAATAGGCCATGTGCCGGGGGGCGTTCGCCTAGTTGACGAGCGATGTCTATTTTGGGGAGCGGGTAATGTACCCCCCCCCCCTTCTGGCGACTGAAATACGTCTGCGTGGATGGAGGCGGTGCCATTCCGTGTGACAATCCAAGAAGGCGGGACGGAGGCCGGGGGAAAGGCTGGCTGGGGGAGGAGGCGGTTTTCCTCCGCCTCGCAGTGAGTCGACGCCGTGCCGAGTTCCCGCCCCATTCTTCTGTCGTGTTGCTGGTCGCTTTCGCCTCCGCCAGAATGGCGCTGAGTCTGACGGTGAAGTCCGCGGACCCCCCTCTTGGTAAGCGTTTCGTGCCAACCCCTACCGTGTGTACACAGGCCCCGCGGTGGCCATTCATTCCCCTGAGCCACCCCCTCCCCGGTTCTTCCAGAGGACGGCTGAGGCGGGGCGTGTTGCTGCCATGTTGCATCAGACGGCGCATGTGAAGCGGCGGGCCCGTCCATTCATCACTACAGTCACCCTTTCTGGGATGCAGCAGCGCCTCGGGAAGATGTTTTTAAGCACGGCTCCGGTGTGGGGGAGCAGAGGGCTGACCCGTGCCTCCCACACACACGCTCCGAAGAGATGGGTCGAGACTGAGAAGGAAGGGGAGAGCGAGCGAGACAGATGGGGCAGTGATGGGGGAGAGAAAGAGCTTCTAGATGAGCAGGGATGGAAGGAACCAGTAAGTTGAAGAGCAGTCAGATGTGAAACGGGGAAAGAAGAAGGTTGGGTGGGGGGCATGGGTTGAGTGCGGCTGACACGTGGCGCGAATGGTGGCAGAGCAGGGAGATTGACAAGTGGGAAATCTTCTCCGGGTTAGATAGGCCAGACGCTTCTGCCTTGTGTCTCTGGATTATAGTTATCTCTTAACGCCCTTTAATCACCTACTTTCCAAACAGTCGAGATGATGAAGGATGGCATATAAGGGTAGAACTTTTTTCTCTTTTCACTTATCAGTAAAGCGTGGGTTCGGTTTTGTAATTGTCCGCACAGAGCCAAAGGTGATAGTGGTTGGAGATCAGTGATGGAGCATATGAGTGGCAGGTGTGTATGAATTGTTGGGGTCTCTCCCTTACACACACTCACTCCCCAATCTCGGATTCTCCCTGAATATATGTCAGGGGTTTTTGTGTGCTGCCGCCTCTGCCTTTTATTTAATGCACTTAGGTATAGATAGAAAGAAGTTACAAAATAAATCTCAGATTTCAGATCAGGTTAATTACTGAACAGTTGCTGTTGTACATAGTAAACTCTCTCATCAGTTGCTGAGGATATGTGCTGTACTAGCTGGACCTGTATCTTTCACTTTTAGCTTTAAGATCTTCCTCACTCAGTCAATCATGCTTTAAAAAGGTAAAGGTAAACGTTCCCTTGCTCAAAAGCCAGTCGAATCCGACTCTACGGTTCAAAGCCAAAGAGCCAGCGCTGTCCGAAGACGTTTCTGTGGTCATGTGGCCGGCATGACTAAACACCAAGGCGCACGGAACGCTGTTACTTTCCCACCGAAGTGGTACTTGCAATCTACTTGCAATTTCTTGCTTTCAAACTGCTAGGTTGGCAGGAGCTGGAACTAGAGACGGGAGCTCACTCCATCATGTGGCACCCGGGTCTCGAACTGCTGAACTACTGACCTTCCACAGCCTGCAGTTCAGCGTCTTAACCACTTGAGCCACTGCAGCTCCTCACTCATGCTTTACTCACCGCCTAATCTGTAAATAAACCATATTTTGTAGTAACCTGATGTTGCAGTGACTTGACCAAGTGGGACAAACCTGGAGGAGAATTCATCCGTTGTGAAGAATACTTACGAGAACACAAGCCCTTAAGGATATTATAAATGTCACAATAGGGCTTTCACATGGAGTTTACTGTGTCACTTTTGGGAATTCTGAACAGGGTATTTCCTTGCTAAATCAGGGCTGCTTAGTAGCTCAGGAAGATTTGTGCTTAGTCATGGGGTTTCTGTAATTATAGGATGCCATCTGTCTGCAAAATTGACTATAGTGTAGACTGTAATAAATAGAGTGAACTTGCTGGAATGACAGCTTCAGTCACTTGAAAACAGTTGAATGTGCAGTACTGGTAATGTTACATATCTTAACTATTTATCATTTACTATTGGCTGTGAACTATACATTGAGTGAACTTTTTAGGATCATGGAGTATTGTGTGCTGATAGAGCATGATGGCTTGAATACACATAAGCATATTCATGTAAAAACTGTTGATATGCAGCTTGAGTCTGTATATGGTTACTTGGCAGCTACTCCTACGGGGCTTAATGGGATTTACTTCCATATGATTGCAGGCTTGGGCTCTGTATTCGAATGCATTCCTCTGGGCTCCCCTGCCTTTTAATATCCTTTACCTGGAATAATGAGGCTATTTGAGTGCTGAATTTGCTGTTAAGTGCAAGTGCAGCTTTCCCATGAACATGTTTAACCACTAGGTGATGTTTAAATATTTAATCTAAAAACAGGAGTTTCCCAAAAATGTTAGTCACATTTATTATTTGGTTACTGTGCAGCATGCTCCTATGTGTGCTTCCTCAGAAGTAAATTCTAGTACATTCAATGTGTGCAGGATTGTAGGCAGTTTCATAAATGATTATTCCCAATGACTTACTTATTAATTCACAGATAAATTTTCATGTCACTCTCCCCTTGTCTTTTTGTCTTATGTATCCAAATAACTGTAGCAGCCCTAAGAGCCCAGACTAGCTTGATCTCATCAGGGCTTGGAAGCTAACCAGGGTTGGTACTTGAATGAGAGACCACCAAGTAAGACTGGGACTGCTATGCAGAGGAAGGCCATTGCAAACCTCCTCTGCTCATGCCTTGAAAACCCCATGAGGTGGAACTTCATGGGGTTGCCATGAGTCAGTTGCAACTTGATGATGTGCTTTACCTTGCAAATAAGTGTAGACACCATTGCTCATGTTCATGTGTGTGTATACTTTTTACAAAGTTGTCTTCCTGTTAGGGCTAAACTGCCTGTTAAATTCTCCTCCATTCAAACAAGCCATCTTGCAGCACAGTCTTAAGCAGCACGGTCCTAAACGGAGTTATGTCCTTCTAAACCCACAGAGTTCACTGGACTTAGAAAGATGTAACTCTGTTTTGCATGGAGCCGTTAGTACAAAATCTTTGTAGATCTTTACATTTAAGGACTTGTTAATAAATGAAAGTTGGAGGTTGTTCAACCACATACGTTGTACTGTAATTCTAAACGTTACCTATGCAAATAAGGGTTTTCAGCGTATGTAGACAATATTTTCTTATGCAGTGTTAGTTGTAGACCATAATTTATTTTACATCAGGTGGTAATCCTGAGGCAATATTTGCTACAAATTATAAACATTTTAAAATTTTGGAAGCATGGTGTTTATGCACTGGACCAAAGTAGTACAGTAAGACCTTCTTGAACACTGTGGTTGTGCTAATGAAAGTAGTGCAAAAAGAGAGAAGACATATTGATAACCCAGATTCTAATAGGGATGTTTTCACAGTGTAGCATTTCTTACATATGAGTGACATATGAAGTAGTAAACAGGAGGAGGTAGCAAAAACCAGCTGACAGTGTCCTTGCTGGAGTGTGTTGGGAGGGTCGCTTTACACAATGAGGCTTCCTCCCAGGAGAGTTATGGGAGGTGGCTGTCTTGCTCACAGCAGTGCTGTGCTGCTTTTGGCCCAGCAGTATTTACTTGCTCCTTGGAGCTCCTGCCCAGCTCCTCTACCCTCTAGAATTTACACACAGGATGAAGAATATTATGATGAAATAGCTTTATTTATTTATTCACTTCATTTATACCCCACTTTTCTCCCCAGTGGTAACGTGAAGCAGCTTACATCATTCTGCTTTCCTGAAATTTATCCTCACAAGAACCCTGTGAGGTAGGTTAGGCTTAGAGTGTGACTAGCCCAAGGTCACCCAGCAAGCTTCCATGGCAGAGTGGGGATTGTAATCTGGGTCTCCTGAATTGTAGCCCGATGCTCTAATCACTATACTATTATTATTATTAGTAGTAGTACGACTAATACTACGCTGTTGTATCAATTACCAAGACTGGTGACAAAATGCATGGTTTACAGTTCCTGCTTCCTGATATTTTTAGAATAGAGCTCAGGACTGTAAGCCTGCCATCCCATTACCTGTTTTGGTGTCCTAAGGGAGGGCATGACAAACTTTCCTTGGACCTAGGAGCCAGCCCCCAAATTAAGGCACCCAGACTAATCCATATCAAAGATAATTTTGTTCTCTGTCATATTAAGCAAGTTAAGTGGTGCCTCTAAGTCATGAATGAGATTGCCAGCTTGCTGGAAAAAATGCCTGGTCCATATACTAAAGCCCTGAGGTGGTGGAGGAAAGTGCCCTCAAGTCACAGCTGGCTTATGGTGACCCTGTAGGGTTTCCAAGGCAAGAGACGTTCAGAGGTGGCTTGCCACTGCCTGCCTCTGCACAGTGCCCCTAGACTTCCTGGATGGTCTCCCATCCAAATACTAATAAGGGCTGGCCCTGCTTAGCTTCTGAGATTTGATGAAATTAGGCCAGCCTGAGCCACCCAGGTCAGGGTAGAGGATTGATGGGACATTATTTATCAGGTGATGCAATTTACCTTCATGCTGTAGAAAGCTTCGACAGTCCGTTTCTACACATTAAGCCTCTTTTAAAGAGACTAAACACTTTCTCCACACCAGTTGGCAACCCTACGTTCAGCAGTTCAGGCCCTACTCTAAAAGGTAAGAATATCGGTTAGGTGTGGAGGGCACGGCTTTTACCTCAGTTGGCCCAAGGTCCTGGAGTGCCTCCCTGAATAAGATGCAGTCGCTTCTTCCTCTTCTTCTTTCAGATGGAGGACAAAATGTTTTTGTGCATGTGAGAATGGTTTCTTGAAGAGGCACAGCCCGAGACAAACTTGGGAAGACTTTTGCACAGTGCCTTAGTTCTCCTCCCCTATGGGAGCTAAGCCCATGTACGTGTCATTGGAATGAACATTCTTCCCCAGTGTTGCCCCGTCTGCATCTTCTCTCTCCCCTTCTTTGCCATCTTGCTTGTCTCAGGATTATAAGGTCCTTGGGGCAGGAATTTACCTTCTTGTGCTTTGTAAAACAGTTCTGTGTAATAAAACAAAAACTGTTTGATTCAGCTGAGTAGAAATAAACTTGGCCTGAACTAGTGGGATAGCCATGTTAAATTTCTGTCAACGAAAGTAAGACTGATCTGGCACCTAAAGACATGTATTGCAAACTCACGCCTCTTTTATTTAAGCTAATGTAGGACAGGCCAGTTGGTACCGCTGGACAGCTAGGGAATGAGAATGGAAGTAAAGGAAGAAACATATACAAGAGTGATTCTTTTTTCCAACTCAGGCATGGAGTCCTTTGATGGATGGTGATAAATAGATTTCAAACAGGAGCCTTCATGATTGTGAATCAGTAAATCTGGACCATAATCCTGTGCATATACTTAGTACACCAAGCCTGAATATAAAAGCACTCGCACTCTACTCTGTTATTTGTGCTCTGAATGATTTCAACACCATTTGGCTTGAAGAATTGCTTCCCTCCCCAGGTCAGGTCTCTCTATCCTCACTCCCAACAAAGTTCCCAACAAAGGCAAAAGTTGTCCTGTGTGGTGGTGGTGGTACTGCTAAGCAGACTAAGGGTATGGGCAGTGATTGAGCTCTGTTTGCAGCAGTGCTTGTATTCTAGCAACAAATTGTCTGTCAGCTGCCTTAGATAACGTTGCCTTAGATACAGTGGGTCCTGATCAGCTGCCTGACCTCCCTGGGAGTGAGGGGCACCACTCTTGGATGATTCTCTTCATTCCTCCAGGGACACCCTCAGAGGGTTGCTTTCAGGGGGGAGAGGCCTTCCAGACGAGACCTGGATTGTGAGGTCCCACAGGGTTCGATCCTCTCTCCAATGTTACTTAATATACATGTGCACCTCTTGCAGGGTGCCATCAATATGCTGATGACATACCTTCAGAACTCCCTCTCCCATTACGACTCCCTGCGTCCCCATCGGTCATCGTCTCGGGGCCTCTTGCAGATGCCTGGCCCTAGCATGGTTTGGCTAGCTGTTACTACGGGAAGGGCTTTCTCACTTATCACCAGTGTTCCCTCTAAGCTGAGTGAGTGTGAGCTAGCTCACAGTTTTTTAGCCTCCAGCTCACACATTTTTGTCTTCGCTCAGGGAGGATGGCTCCAGAACAAGCTAGTTTATGCAGCAGCCAAATTTCTCACTCACAACTTTAATGGCAGCAGCTCACAAAGTAGAGTTTTTGTTCACAAGACTCCACAGCTTAGAGGGAACATTGCTTATCACCCCTACCCTGTGGAATGCACTCTCTGATGACACCTGTGCCCTGCGGGAGTTGCTTCGTTTCTGCAGGGCTTGCAAGGCAGAATTGTTCAGGTAGGCCTTTGGAGGTTAACCAGATGTTCTGGGCTGGTTCAATATTGATATGTATCTTACTTTTATATGTATTATGTGGTTTTTCTTGTTTTTTAAACTTATTTATGATGATGTTTAAGTGTTATAAGTCACCATGAGAACCTTTGGGTGAGCAGCGACTAAAAAGACAAATAAATAAAATTAGCTTTGTACCAGAAGTTTTTAAGGGCATTCCTTGTATGGGCTGATTCCTCTCCCTACTGGTGCGACCTTATTTTCTTCCTGACTCCCCCTTGCTACCCTCCTCCTCCTTTTAAATCCTGTAAGGGAGTTAACAGGCTGAGGACCACTGGAGCTGCAGATGCCAGAAGCAAACTTCAGGTTGCAATGGTGACCTGGCCTAATTGTTGAGGCCTGCCTTAAAGTATCTCAGAACTGTGAACATTTATAGGGCTAAATTAAGTATGTGATTGGGGGAATAGCTATTGAGTATAATGAGTATATTAGAATTACACATGACAAACAGTACACATCACAAGCAATATGGCTGGATGACCTTGGGCAAGCCATAGTTCTGATAAGAGCTGTTCTTGAAAAAAGAGCAGTTTCTGTCAGAGTTCTGTCAGCCCCACCTACCTCACAGGGTGTCTGTTGTGGGAAGGGGAAGCGAAAGAAATTTGTAAGCCGCTCTGAGTGAAGAGCGGGGTATAAATCCAGTCTCCTCCTCCTCTTCTTCTACAGTGTTTCTGTCTTCACAGTGTTTTTTTTAAGTGCACATAATCTTTTAACATTTGGTTCAGATATAATATCAAACCATGTTTCAAAATATGGTTTGATTTCAAGACATAAGGCAAACCTCAATTTATGCTCCTTGCTTCTTCACCTAGTCCCATGGGAATCCCCAGAAGCTGTTCAAAATGCTTAGCCTTGCCCAGTGGGTGAGTGCATATGTAGACATTGTATTGTTTTAGGTGGTCTCTTCTGCAACCGAAGTTGTGTTTTGCAGCTTCCCCTCTGTCTTCTGGTATAAGCTGTGTAGCATAAGAAATGCCTAGGGGGATTTTCTTTTTAAACCTATGAACTACAACAGGTAACTGATAGATTTCCACATGGCCATTTTCTTTAATTTAAAGCAGCAGCTGGTGAGGGATGGATACATGGCAGTGGGCAAACCAAAAATATAAGAAGGGAATTCCTTGGGGGACTGCAGCCAGTGTGGTTTCATTTTTGGGATGCTCTAGGCAACGTTCTCTGAGGTCAGGCAGTTTCCAGGGTCAGAACAGTGTCTCAAATCAGGGTTTGTTGGATGTAAGTTCAAGCCAAGGTCCTGCAAAACTGTGGCTTCAAACTACTGTTTCATATTCTGGTTTGTTGGCCACACTAAAACCATGGCTTATTGGTTCTGGAGTAAGTCAATGTTGTTCAGTCAAGTGTAAAATAATAGCTTGAAATTGGGGTGTTTGTTTTTTTTGCAGTCTTCACTCTAAACTGGTGCAATCTGTTTTTAATTTTTTGCTTTAGTATGTTTTAATTAACTATTTATTATTGTGTTTTGTGCGATGCCGAATGACCTAACTATTTGTTGTGATCTGCCTTGAGCCTGTTCACGAGGAGGGCAGAATATAAATTTGAAAAATAAATAAATAAATTCACAGTTAAAAATCCTTTTTTAAAAACTATTGCAACTTTAGTAAAAGTCAGCAGGATTTGGAGAGATCTACCCATGACTTTAGGAATAGGCTTAGATTATAACTGAAGTGAAAGGTTGGGCATGATTCAGCTAATGTGGCTCCTTTGATTTAATGAAAGAGGATTAAATCAGTAGTGCATTAAAAAATTGCGAATCATGCCCTTGCATTGTGCAGCACTGTAAATTATACAGCATTGCTAGGAAATGAATTTATAGCCAATCCTTGCTGAGGCCATTGCTGAAGATTACTTTGGGTTTTCACTCTTCTATTCTACCCTAAAGACTTCCAGGACAAATAAACCTGTTTATATAGGATCAGTTGATTTCTTCCCTGAGCATTTTGGTCTTGGAGTGATAAGGAGAAGTGCTGAGTTAAAGCTGCTTTAAAAAAGAAAGGAAGGAAGAAATCAAATTCTTTTATTCTGATTATGAATTATTTTCTTTTTAAAAATCAGGAGCCTTGCTGACTGCAGAACTTGTGAAGGATCAAGTTAAAATTTCAGTCGAAGAAGGCAAAGAAACCATCCTGCGGGTATCTGAGTAAGTGCCTTGCATCTCTGCCATGAGTGCTTTTAAAAGGCAGTTGTAACTCAGCCTGTTGAATGGCAAATGGAAGAAATGGTGATACAGGATTAATGATTGCATATACAATTGCTATCCTCTGCGTTCCAAAATTACCCTCCATTTTTGATTGCTACTATTACTGTAAAAGCCCTTGTTCAGCTGAATGAAGCTGTCATGTCAGTGCATGGGGGAGAGGTGAGTCTAAGGCCAGATACGAGGGTCTAAGGCCATGAAGGGCTTTGTACGTGATAGCCAATACCTTGAAGTGATGGGCAGCCAGTGGAGTAATACACCCTGTGGCATGGGCCTTGGGCAACACCACAAAAAAGAAAGGGACTGAATTTTAGCCACGGTGATGGTAGCGAAAGGAAAAAGGAAGGCAAGACCATGGCTTCCCTCATGGTGATACCATTAACTACATGGTGGCAGAAGTTTGCAGCGTTCATCAGAGTAGGGAGTAGTGCATTGGGCTCTATACACTGAAAGTCTATGGGCTGGATCCAGTGACCGAATACACAGAGACCTTTAGTGGAATGGATCTCTTCCTGCCTTCCCCTTACCCAGCCCACCTGCTGTTTATCCTGAATCTCTTCTCTGAAGGTTGGGAGAGCCTTGTAATCAAAACAGACCACAGAACAGGGGGGTCTGCAGCAAAAACAGGGGATTGGGAAGAATTGCTTCTGTTTCCCTCTCCTGCTGAGGCGAGTCATGAGCAAAAGAGGGAGAAAGAGACTCAGGCTGCAGCCCTCTCCCCCCCATCCTGTGGTATGTTTTATTTGCAAGAGTCCGTCCTCAAAGGGGTTTCAGGATAAAAGGACATGCTGCTTCTGTGAGGGAAGGGCAGAAAGGCACTGTTCTGCTAGCTCCTCAGCTCCTTTCACCAGCTGGATGCAACCCATTCTGTCTCCTCTCACTTCATTCATGAGTGATCCTTAATGTCAGTTGGGAAATGGCATTGTACGATTGTTTCTTGACTGGACATTCTGACTTTCTGTGATTCACTTACTTGACTGAAAGCACTTACTCAGCGTTTTATGCCTTTTGATTGGGGATGCTAAGACGATGTCAGCATAACTTAAGTTTGGGTGATTAATGAGTTAACATTCCTTTATAGAACTATAGGGGTGAATGAAGTGTCAGCAAATTATGAGCTGTAGTTAAAGAAAAAAGCAAGGATAAAAGTTCTGAGTTATGTATCTGTGGTTGGTACAGAATTTATTTTGTATCTGTGGCCCTGGAAGGGCATTCACATGTGCACAAAAAGTCATGTGCATATAGCAGGTGCTTTCTGACACACATACTCCCCAAACAGAAATCCTTCATACTTCATATCCTCAGCTGCTTTTGAAACATCTCCCAGTTCCATCAGTGGCTTGTTTATTAAAAAGTAAAGGTAAAGGTTCCCTTGCTCGAAAGCCAGTTGAATCCGACGCTAGGGTTGCGGTGCTCATCTCCGTTTCAAAGCCGAAGAGCCAGCGCTGTCCGAAGACGTTTCCGTGGTCATGTGGCCGGCATGACTAAACACCAAGGCGCACAGAACGCTGTTACCTTCCCACCGAAGTGGTACCTATTTATCTACTTGCAATTTCTTGCTTTCGAACTGCTAGGTTGGCAGGAGCTGGAACTAGAGATGGGAGCTCACTCCATCATGCGGCACCCAGGTCTCGAACTGCTGAACTACTGACCTTCCACAGCCTGCAGTTCAGCGTCTTAACTACTTGAGCAGCTCTGGCTTGTTTACTTGAGTATATTTCTAAAACTCCTTTCAAACATACCTCACCCCCAGATATAATTTAAAACCAAATACATGAAATAACAAGTAATTAAAACAGTGAATAGGAGCCACCTCCTCTCTTCCAGCAGCAGCAGCAGCCATAGCAGCCCCTACACCCAGATGGAACAGGTAGATCTTTAAACTAATACAGAAGCCCCCTGAGTATGTGGTCATTCTCCCCTTCTTGAGGAGGTCATTCCATACTTGGATGCTATAGCAGAAAAGATCTTCCCTCTGTGCCCCAGCCAATCCAAGCCTAGTTTCCTAAGGAAAGCCCCTTGTGCAGATCCCAAGTCCCTCTTTGGACAGTATGGGGGGGAGGAGGGGGGCACCCGGGGCAGTCTTTCAGTTACTCAGGAGTCTACAGTAAATAAAAAAAGTTCATGAGTTTTTGTGTGTGTGTATATCGAGGCAAGTACAAAGTACTCTGTGGATCATTTTGCATTTTCATAGTACAGCAGAATATTTTTTGAGTGATCCATTTGTCCTTGCACTAAGCTCAGCTCATTTATAATTCTTAAAACTGATTCTCCATAACAGCAGTATCTCTTTAAGTGATACTTGTAATAAGAAGCATTCGCTCAACAAGTTTCCAAAGCTGCCTTGTACTGAATCAGGCCCATGGTCTAGCAAAGTCAATATTGTCCACTCAGACTGGCAGTGGCTCTCCAGAGTCTCAGGCAGACGTCTTGATTATCCCCTACTGCCTGGTCCTTTAACTGGAGATGCCAGGGATTAAACCTGGAGCCCCCTGCATGCCAAGCAGATGCTCTGCCACTGAGCCTTGGCCCTCCCCCTAGTCTGAGTCACCAATGTCGCACTGAAAGGCCTGAAACTGTGCCCGTCAACAAGGTGTTGATAGTATATAAAAATATTTAAAATGTTTCATTCAACAAGAGCAGCTACTTAGAAATTTATTATTGTGCTTAGCTGCCGAGGCAAAAACTATCGAGCCCTTTTATGACATCCGAACAGCTTAAGGCAGTGAAAACCAGAGCAGCTGTGATACTTTCCCCCCTGCAAAACACCTTCTATCAAGCCAGGACTAGCTGGACAGTATATAATGTCAAGCCATGATTTGTGCTTCAAGGGGAGGAGGGATTATATAAGCAAGCACATGTAATATGCTAGTTAGTTAGAGCACGTTTATCTCAGAATCATACCGAAATCTATTCAGTGGGGTTTAGGATGTTCTTGGGATTGCACTGTTAGATACTTCCTGGTCTGTGACAAACTGTCACTTGTTTTACATCTGAACTAGAAGAAAAATATTGTAGATTATTCATTAACTGAAAATTGTTAACATCTTCTGTAGTTTTTTTTGTCCACAAATATATAAATTAGTATAGTAGGGACAGTTATAAGTAGCTGAAAATACTTGCATGAGTTTATTTAATTTGCTTGAAAGTATACCTACTAATTACATTCTGTGTGTAGTTGCTAGTTTGATTCTATAATTTGTTCTAATATAGTTACATTCCAAGGGCAGATAGCCTCATATGTGTTTCATTGTTTTTATGCAGTCAAATTACATTCACTGATGCAACTTCCATAGCTCGCTATCTGGCCAGAATTGCCCCTTCTGCTACATTATATGGATCAAATTTGCTGGAACACACTGAGGTGGGAAGAGTCTTTTGTATTAGAATTTGATTGGAATTGCATTTTTTCTCTACCTGACGAGCCTCTTAAAATCACAGAATGCTATTGTTTGTTGATCTTGGCTTTTATAATGTAGTCTGACTGATATTTGTCCACTCTTTTGAGATCAGGGATTTACGTGCAACTACTCTTGCAGTTAAAAGGTCTGAACAGGAGAAGATATTTCCTACAACCCACTTCAGTCGACATCATGGCTGCAGCATTCTGTACCATTTGACGTTTCCAAGTACATTCCAAGGGCAGCCCCACATAGACTGCAATGCAGTAATCTAATCTAGATGTTACCATGGCATGCACTGCAATGGCTAGATATTTTCTGCCCAGGAAAGGCCACAGCTGCTTAACCAATTGAAGCTGGTAAAAAGCACTCCTAGCCACAGCTGCCTCCTGCTATTCCAGGCAGAGGTGTTCTGTGAAGCATATGGTTGAGGACAGCAACGGTTTTTAACAGCAATCGGTGTCATTAGTTTGCCTTCTCACTCTTCCCCCCTCGGCTGAAGGGGGTTAGAAATTTATGTATTGTGGTGCCATATAGGTTTTATGACATCACACAATTTCTGTATATTAGTGGATTGTATTTTAATATATTCTTTTGTTTTAAACTGTTATACACCACCCTGACCCTGCTCTGTGGGGAGGGCAGTATAAGAGCCTAATAAATAGATAAATAATAAGCCTGGGCCCAGGAGCACCCCCAGACTACGGACCTGTTCCTTCAAGTAGAGTACAACCCCATCCAGAACAAGTACCACCTTAAATCCTGGGTCAGTCCTTCCACTCACTAATAGTCTTTTTGGGATTAAGCTTCAGTTTATTTCCACTCACTAATAGCACTTCAGTCTTTTTGGGATTAAGCTTCAGTTTATTAGCCCAGATCCACCCCAAAATTGCCTCCGTGCACTGGTTGAGGGTTTTTCTAGCCTCCTGGGACCTGCCATGAGATAGAGCTAGTGTATTGGGTGACAGTTTAGCCCAGATCTCCAGATGACTTCACCCAGTGGTTTCATGTAGAGGCTGATAAGCATGGGGAACAACGTACAGCCTTGCAGGACCCCACAGTCTAGTGACCAAGGGGCTGAGCAGCAGTCCAGCAGGACTATCAACTGAAATCTACCTTCCAGGTAGGACTGGAACCACTGAAAAATGGTACTTCCTGGTCTCAGCCCTCAAAAGCAGTCCAGAAGGATCCCATGACTGATGTAATTGGGAACTGCTAAGAGGTCCAGGACAATCAGCACAGTTCCACCCCTTCTGTCCATCTCCTAGTGCATGTCATCCACCAGGGTGACCATGACTGTTACAGTTCCATAACCAGTCATGAAACCAGATTGGAAACGATTCAGACAACCTGATATACATAGGAAAGCTTGGAGTTGCCCAGCCACTGCCCATTCAATCACCTTGCTAAAGAATTGTACTCTTGTGACTTTGATAATTATTCAAATCTCCTGGGTAGATTTTTTTTAGCCGTGGACTCACAATGCTAGAGTGGCCTCCCCATCTCTCAAGGAAGATTATCTACATCTCAGACTCAGTCAGCCAGTCCCCCCCGCCCCCCCGCCCCGCAGATTTAAGTAGCCAGGAAGGGCAATGGTCGTACACAAATGTCTTGAATTTCCAAGAATCCTGACCACATTTTCATATTGAATAAACTGAAAAATGTCCCAAACAACTGGACAAGTAGGCATCCTGGCACCATCTGATCCTGTCACTGCTAACATGGAGCTTGGGTAGCTATGGCAACCTGCAGGGCTATGTGAAAACTGGTATCGGTGGCAAAGATGCGGCTGTAGCCAGGAGAAGGAGGGGGCGGTGGCATCGATGAGCAGGAGAAGCAAGGACAAAGAGGAGGGGAAAAGCAAGGGGAAGGGGGGTGTTGGAGCACATGTGGGGAGGGAGCAGGAAAATGCGGCTTCTCATGGGGTCTCCCTTTTGTTTCTCTCCTAATGATCAGTTGATGGATTAGTACTATGGGCTTTTCAATTTATTTTAAATTTTCTAAAATGAACGCACTTCTTTACCTTTCTCGATTGGTCTTTCAAAGTGATTTAAAATGTAAAAGAGAGACACTGCATTGTCTTTATTAAGACAGATGTTAGTCAGTTTTTATATGCTAGAAGAATTATTACCTTCCAGTGAGGAACGATTCTTATGCTATACATATTAAATTGAAGATTAACAAATCGTCTCAGTTAAACAGTGAAAATTTTACATCAAGACACACTCATTTTTTCTGCCCACTGATATGCTAACCTCCTTTGGAAATGGGGATTAATTTTCTGTCTCTTGTAAGATTAGATGTTTGTGTATGGGTCAGAGTGGTATCGTTTGCAGCAGTATTATAAGTGTATGAAGAAGAGCCAGGAAGAGGAGAACTGCAAAGAAAATTCCTGTGTAAAGTTTTCTAAGACACTTAAAAGGGAATGTGATAATATGTTCAAATACAATATTGCTTCCCATGTTTTAAATAATAATGAATTATGCTAATTTAATAATATATTCTAATAACTAGAATTTTCCAAGTGGCAATGGATATAATTTTTGTTGGCCATCAGTCATAGCTCCTTCTAATTTACTAAGCATTTCTGTTTAAATATTATCTTTCTCCAAGATTGATCATTGGCTGGAATTCAGTGCTAGAAAGTTGTCTGATCCAGCCTATTTTGCTTCAGCAATTGAAGAACTTAATAACTCCCTTTCTCTGAGGACCTACTTGGTTGGGAACTCTTTGAGCCTTGCGGATTTCTGTGTCTGGGCAGCATTAAAAGGTAAAAGAAAACGTAGTAAATATGCTAAATGTTTATTTGTGTGCATGTATATGTAAATTTGTGTCCTCCTTTGCTCCTCAAAGGGGACCCAAAGTAGCTTGCAGCAGCATTCTTCCCTCCTGTGTTCTATTATCAGAACAACCACCATGTAAGGTAGGGTAGGCTGAGAGAGACTGACTGGCCCAAGGTCACCCAGCGAGCTTCCATGGCAAAGTGGAGATTTGAACCTGAGTCTACTCGATCCTAATGTGACACTGACCTCTCCACCAGCATAATCATTCATTCATGTGTTCTAGTGGAGCACATTTTGTGGTAAGTTGTCATAACAAAAAACAAAAGGCACAGATCCAAATCCAAGAGTCAGTTTCGTGTAGTGGTTAGGAGTGCGGACTCTAATCTGGGAGAACTGGGTTTGATTCCCCACTCCTCCACTTGCACCTGGCTGGATGGCCTTGGGCAAGCCATAGTTCTGATAAGGAGCTGTTCTTGAAAAAGAGCAGTTTCTGTCAAGAGCTCTCTCAGCCCCACCTACCTCCCAGGGTGTCTGTTTTGGGGAGGGGAAGGGAAAGGAGATTGTAAGCCCCTCTGAGTCTCCAAGTGAAGGGCGGGGTATAAATCTGGAGAGCCACTGGAGAGCCAGTTTGGTGTAGTGGTTAAGTGCGCGGACTCTAATCTGGGAGAACCGGGTTTGATTCCCCACTCCTCCACTTGCACCTGGCTGGATGGCCTTGGGCAAGCCTTAGCTCTGATAAGGAGCTGTTCTTGAAAAAGAGCAGTTTCTGTCAAGAGCTCTCTCAGCCCCACCCACCTCACAGGGTGTCTGTTGTGGGGAGGGGAAGGGAAAGGAGTTTGTAAGCCGCTCTGAGACACCTTTGGGTAGTGAAGGGCGGGGTATAAATCCAATCTCCTCCTCCTCCTCCTCCTCCTCCTCCTCCTCAAAAAAACACCTCCTGTAATTCTTCACATCTTTGCTAATTAACTTAGTATAAGCATCAGGGGTTTTTTTACCGTGGAAATTGTGACATCTTTGTGTAAATAAAATATTTTAATATATTAAAGTCTCTTCATAGAAAACATTCAGTATAGCACAATTCACAAAGCTTTCCCTGTTGTGGTTTGCCATTTTCATCTGAGAATAATCTTGTATTTTTTCTCAAAAAGCATATGGTGTAAGCTTGGCCAATTTTTTTCCCTTTCTGGCAGTAGTTCACTTTTTTGTAATAGAGCTCCAGGTATTACCCTGAGTGTTGTTCATTGAGAGTCATGAGGGTAATATATCTTGTCAAGCCTTGTATTGGCTACTTATTAATTAAATCTGTGTTATTTCTCAGCAGGCAACAATCAGTGGCAAGAGCAGCTAGTTCAAGCCAAGGCTCCAGTTCATATAAAACGCTGGTACAACTTTCTTGAGGCTCAACGTGTTTTCCAGTCAGTAGGTATGCAGTGGTCTGTAGCTGCTCCCGCTCCCAAGGCCAAAGTGGTAAGTTTTCTTCTTTGCTGATTCGGTATCTCTGGCTCAGGTTCTGTTGCAGTTTTGGCATCTAAGTAAGACTAAGCGCTAGTGGTTTTATCTGCAAAGTGCTGATCGAAAAAAGGTCACTGGTGGCAGCTGCATAGCCAAACCTATATTGATATGGAGGATCTGAACTGGCACTATTATTGGCAGAGTTCCTTAAGGAACCAGGAGGAGTATTTACATTGTGAATGGGAAGCTGCAGTGATTAATGCAATTAGGCTGTATTAGATTTAATTGGTTAAGAACCAAGTTAAATAAACAAATGTTTAGTTTTGAATAGAGTAGGTGAGATGTTGATGTTAGCTGTTATGGGGAGTCACATAGCCACCCTTACAGTGTTGTCCAGTGTTGACTTTAGGATGTTCTCTGGATTGATAATGTTGCAATGTGAGACAGTGGCTGCGGTCACACGGAACATTAGCCACGCTACAGAGACGGAAGATAGGCGGATTTTCCGGGCGCAATCTCACCGGCACATCTGGGAAGTGTAGCGCTCCCGTGGGTCACCCGAGGCTTCCTGCCGAATACGCGCAGCAAAAAACTAGTACCTCGGAGGTACTAGTTTCCGGAAACCGCGGGGCAAGGGCGGGCGTCTGATCGCGTTTCCGGTGGCATCCGGCGCCTGCCCATGTTCCCTCGCAAAAAGCTTTCCCCCCCCCCCAGTCTCCATGGATGCGCACAAGCACCCAACGGAGCATGTGCATACTTCAATGTACAGGGAAAAAACCCGTTTGCCCTGGAGGAAGGCGAAGAGGCGACAGCTTGTCCAACCGTCCCCAGGAGCCGCATAGAAGGCAGCTCAGAGTCGCCCAGAGCGGCGATCCCCCCCTCCGGGGGACCTGCCTTTCAGTTTTATTGTCAGGACTCAAGCTCCCTCTACCCCACCCCTTGGCCACGTCCCTTTCTCCCTTCTCCTCCCACCGAGTGCCCTTCTGGGACGTGTAGTCCGTTTCAGCCACTTCTTTGCTGCATGGTTGTGTGATCGGCACCTCCCCCTTATACACGGGACCTTTACGGGACCTCCAGGAGACGTCTGCTCGTGCAACCGTGCGTTATTCTGCCCCGGGGCTAACAGCTACGCTTCCCCCCGCATTTTCCTGCCCGTGTGACCGGAGCCAGTGAGTTGCATCCATTGTTTGTTTTTTTTCTGCCAGTGCAAAAGCACTTCTGCTAGGGAAGATGGGAGTGTGATTTTTTTTCCTGATTCCTCTCACTGTATCATTCCCAGTGCTGATTACGGAGGGGGCAGTGAGGGGTACAGATCCATGAACTGAGGTCCATTCACAATTGGTTGGATACCTGAGTGGAGGTTCATGCAGCCCATTCCCAATAATTATTTAGTAGCTCTGCTGTTATGATTGTTAACGACAATGGTATTGTTTTAATATTAAGGCTGCAGATAAGAAACAAGATGTCGGGAAGTTTGTTGAGCTCCCTGGTGCAGAGATGGGGAAGGTCATTGTTCGATTTCCGCCTGAAGCAAGCGGGTAAGATGAGCACATTTAATCCATATTCCTTTCACGAGAGATAGGTGACCACATTAAGAGGTTTGTCTTCTGCAGAGTCCATTTAAGAAACAAGACTTTAAAAATTAGATTGTGTAAATGTCTTTTCAAATTTAAAAAAATCAAACTGCTTGCTGTAAATGCTGCTCTTACATAACTGAAATGGAATGTGTCCTGTGAAACAGACAATTCAGTGCCCATTCTGTACTGAATAGATTACTGTTAATGCATTTCATATAAGTGGTTGACTGGTGGGACACACTGCCATACTGCCATTAGGGCTTGGATGGAATTAAAAGAGGGTTGGACAAATTTGGATTAGGTAGACTATTGGTCTGAACCTGCACGACTACTCATTGTCTTATGCAAGCATTGATTTGTTATCTTGTGATATTTGTGAACACTTCAGTGTTGTTTTCTGTACCAATTTTATTTAAAGATGCAAATATTTATAATATTTCTATATCTGTGGAGGCTTTAATTGATAGTTCACTTAAATCGGGGGCCTTGCAAGAAAATGTGGAAAGAGTGGAAGAGATGAGCGTTCCCTTCTGCACAGCTCTGCTAAGTCTCAAAGCGTTATATAATCCCATAAACCTTAACCAATATTGTCCTGTCACTTTCTCCAGTACTTCTTGTATTGGGATCAATTTCCCTTGAGAATTATACAAATCTTTCAGTCTAAAAAACCTTCCCCCTTTAACTCCTTCCAAAGAGTTGTCTCAAAATTTTTAAATTCTTGACTTAAAGATTCAAGCGGAGCCCTTTTCGAAGGCATTGGTATCCAAACAGATTGTTTCTTTCCCCAAATCCTTAATGTTGTCTGTCTTGGACCTATCACATTTTCAATTTCTTTTTTTACCCTCTGTGTAAATATTCCAAAACTACCTGCTCCTCCATTTGTAGTATCCTCCCATCTCACCCATTTCTCTAGACTTTTACCATCTAATTCCATCATCATTCTTATTTGAAAAGCTTCATAATACCTTTCCAATTGTGGCATACCCCAACCTAACTCCTCCTTTGAGGAGTATATCACTTTCCTTGCTACTCTGGCTTTCTTCTTCCCAAACACCCAATTTTCAGTTTCCTGATCCCATATTACTAACTGTTTCCTGGATATCTGTTCTGGGAGTACCTGAAACAAATATATCATCTTAGGTATTATAAACATTTTAACTGCCCTTATCTTCCCCGGTATACTCAGATATATTTTATTCCATTGGTTTAATTTTTTTGTATCTTTTTCCATGCTATTTTGTAATTTATCCCCATCAAATTTTTAATATTTTTTAATCATTACACTCAAGTATTTCAACTTCTTAATTCCTAATTTCATACCTGTTATTTTTGCTACTTCTTTTTGTTCTTTTAAGTCTATTCTACTAAACATTATTTCTGATTTTTTAATATTTACCCCTAAACCTGAATACATTTTAAAGTCCTGTAATATTATCATAAGTTCCCTCAAGGCTTCCAGGGGATTCTCTAACACTAATAATATATCGTCTGCAAACAAATTTAGTTTAATTTCCTCCTTCCCTATCCTATATCCCTGTATCCTAATACTATTTCTAATTCTGTCTGCCAATGGCTCCATAGCTATTATAAAAAGCATTGGGGATAAAGGGCATCCCTGCTTAACTCCTCTTTGAATCAATATTTCACTGGTATGTCCATCATTAATTTTAATCATGGATTTCCCTTCTCTATATATTTCTTTTAGTGCATTTAGAAAAGATCCTTCAAAACCAAGTTTTTTTAACACTTGAAATAAAAATGTATTATTCAGTGTTTCAAAAGCTTTATAAACATCTAATTTCAAAAGGGCTATCCTCCTCTTATTGTTATTACCATGGTATAAAGCATTAATCACATTTCTTATGGGATGCCCAATAGCTCTCCCTTTCACAAAACCAATTGCACTATAGCACTGAGGACTAGTTAAGCGAGAAGCTCTGGTTCTCTATCCACACCTGAACAGTATAGTGCCATATGCTGTTTTGAAGAATTTGGGGGATATAAACTGAACCTAGGATGCATGCCTCATGCCCTCCAAAGTTCTTCAGACTGTTGATTTCTTCTTTGCCTGTTGTCCTCCCCCCCCCCTTTAAATGGTGCTTTGTTTTTGCTTTGGTGTTTTCATTCTTTGTTCTCTCCTGCTTTCTCCTTTGTTGCATACAGAGAGCTAATTACGTTTACACTAGGAGAACTTACTGTATTTATTGAGAATATTGTAGCAGCGGAGTATTCCTATACTGCCTTTTTTCTTTTGTGTTATGCTGTTTCTGACTGACTTACCCTTTTTCCTCTTGTCCAAAGCATCACAATTTTTTGTTCTGTACAATTATTTTATTTTTAGATACTTACATATTGGCCATGCAAAAGCTGCTTTGTTGAATCAGCACTACCAGGTCAACTTCAAGGGTAAACTGATCATGAGGTTTGATGATACAAATCCAGAAAAAGAAAAGGAGGATTTTGAAAAGGTATAGTAGAATTGCTGTGAAAGCCATTAATTTATGATGATGGTGCAGAACTGAATTAAGCCAGGTTAACTGCTTTGTTTTTCACATTGTTCTGTTCGCTTGTGAGGTGTTGAATGCAAAGAACATAGTTACTTTGGATACTGTTTGTACATATACTTGCTGAAAAATACCATGAAGAAAATTGTTTATTGAAGATACTGCTATATATTTACAAGTAGTATTTCTGAATAGAACTAATTCCAGTTACTTCTGTAGAAGACAAGAGACTCCATTTTTGGATACAGTTTCTGGAGTCAAACAAAGGGGATGTAACTTAGTTTAGAGCACATGGTTTGCAGGTGAGTCTGAGTTCAAATGCTGTCATGTCCAGGTGAAGGGATCTCTGGTAGCACAGCTCAAACAGCCTGCAATTGAGATTCTGAAATCTGCTGCCATTCACGGTAAACAACAGTGATAGGCTAGATGGGCCAATGGTCTGATTCCATATAAGGCTGTTTACAACTTTATTCCTTTACACACTCTCCTGGAAGTAAGCCTCATTAGATTTGTTGGGCGTTACCTTTGAGTAGATATGCATAGGATCAGACTGAACATCACTGAAACTTACTGGGTATGAAAAAACTTTTAGTAGAAATGGTGGCAAATGTCAGTTCTTAAAAAAAGAATTCTGCTAGACAGCCAAAAGCAGTGACAGAATGAGGCTCTTTCCATGCACATACATGCACAGGATGTCTTTTTAGATACGGAGAGGTCAGCAGAGGAAACAGAAAGGTCAGTCAAAGTTAACTTCTTTTGAGACACAGAAAATGTGTGGCTAAAGGTGAAAGTAAAAGTTGGCTGCAAGCTGCCTCCTGGGAAGCTCTTAATGGTGCAGTGCAGCAAATTCCTTTGCTTTAAAGGCACTCACCAGAATGGGCACCCCTCTCTTCACTGGCAAGCTAGAAAAGTGCCTTTGTGGAACATTGGAATCTTGTGTGAATTTGTTGCTTAATCCTAAGCATGTTTACTCAGAAGTAACTTCCAATGTGTTCATTGGTATTTGCTCCCATGTAAACACATAGGATTTTAAAGTACGAAATAATATCAATATAGAGCCTGGTTCTCTGTGAAGCCAGTCTACTACTTCTTTTTCCTTCTTATTTTAGCAGGCCACTTATTCAAGGGGATGAGATCCTCTCTGACTTTTTGTCCCTGCTTTTTGTATGGCTCAGAGTGATTTGTGCTTCACTGCCTCTTTTTTAGGGTTACCAGGTCCTATTGCCCTGGCAGCGAGGAGTGGGAGGGAGCCATCTGGGAGTGGGTGGGGCTGAAATTCTGTGGTTACCATAGAGTCGTAGGTCATCACAGGTTTCCCCAGCAGCCAGCTGGCCTGCAGCAGATTGGAGCCCTGAAGATCAGGGGAATCCCCTGGCCACGCTACTCTTGTTTCACTGCATTGTACAAAAGACAACTTTTGCATCTCCCTGCTTGGAACACTCCTTATTTGAAAAACCCTGGTAGAACAACATATATTGCAAATTTCTTCTTAGTCTCTGGGCTTCATTCTTTCTTGAAGAATATGAACACCAGGTTAGATCCTCATTTAATTCCTGTGTTTTAATGGCCAAGAAGAGGTCTAGATTCTTTTTATATATAAAACGTAACTTATAGAATCATAGAATCATAGAGTTGGAAGGGGCCATACAGACCATCTAGTCCAACCCCCTGCCCAATGCAGGACCAGCCTAAAGCATCTCTGACAAATATTCCTCCAGCCTCTTCTTGAAAGCTGTCAGTGAAGGGGAGCTAACCACCTCCCTAGGCGGCTGGTTCCACCTTTGAACCACTCTGACTGTGAAAATGTTTTTCCTAATATCCAGCCGATACCTTTCTGCATGTAATTTAAACCCGTTGCTTCAGGTCCTATCCTCTGCTGCCAACTAGAACAGCTCCTTGCCATCCTCCAAATGACAGCCTTTCAAATATTTAAAGAGAGCAATCATGTCTCTCCTCAGTCTCCTCTTCTCCAAACTAAACATTCCCAAGGCCCTTAGCCTTTTCTCGTAGGGCTCAGTCTCCAGACCCCTGATCATCCTTGTCGCTCTCTTCTGCACCCTCTCGATTTTGCCCACATCCTTTTTGAAGTGAGGCCTCCAGAACTGCACACAGTACTCAAGGTGTGGCCTGACCAAGGCAGTATACAGAGGGGCTATGACCTCCTGTGATTTTTGATGCTATGGCCCTTTTAATACAACCCAAGACTGAATTTGCCTTTTTTGCCACTGCATCACACTGACTGCTCATATTTAGTTTACAGTCTACCCTTACCCCAAGTTCTCTTTCGCATACACTACTCCCCAGAAACGTATCCCCGATCCTGTACTTGTGCTTGACATTTTTATGGCCAAGATGTAATACTGTGCATTTATCTTTGTTGAATTGCATCCTGTTTGCAACTGCTCACTTCTCCAGAGTATTCAGGTCTTGTTGAATTTTAACTCTGTCTTCTTGGGTGTTTGCTACTCCTCCCAATTTGGTATCATCAACAAATTTAATGAGTAGCCCTTCTACCCCTTCATCCAGATCATTAATAAAAATATTGAAAAGTACCAGGCCCCAAACTGAGCCCTGTGGCACCCCACTAGACACCTCTCTCCAATCTGATGAAACGCCATTGACCACCACTCTTTGGGTGTGGTCCTCCAACTAGTTCCCTATCCACCGAACCATCCTATAGTCCAGTCCACAGTCTTCCAGTTTTCCCATCAGAATGTCATGGGGAACCATCGAAAGCTTTACTGAAATCCAGTGACAGGTTTGTAGTTTCCTGGGTCATCCTTCCCTTTCTTAAAGATTGGGATAACATTGCTCTTCTCCAATCTTGTGGCACATCCCCAGTCCTGTAGGAGGCCTTGAAGATGATGGACAGAGGTTCTGCAAGTTCATTAGACAGTTCTTCGAGCACTCTTGGGTGCACACCATCTGGCCCAGGGGATTTGTATTTGTTCAGTGCAGCCAGGTGCCTCTCCATAACCTCCCTGTCAATGTCAACTGGACACTCAGGTGTCCTGTTATGTCTTATACCATCTCTAGATGGGCTCGAGTTCTTTTGGGAGAAAACAGAGGCAGAAAAGTCATTAAGCCTGTCTGCTTTTTCTCTGTCCTCCACCAGAGTTTCTCCTTTACTCCCAAAAGCGGTCCATTTGCCTCTTTTACCTTGCGTTTGCTTCTTACATACCTGTAGAAGTTTTACTTATTGTAGTGAGCCCCCCTGGCCAGACCCAATTCATGCTGAGCTTTGGTTTCTCTGATGGCTGATCTGCAGTACCAAGTAACTCTCATATACTCCTCTTTAGAGGTCTGACCTTTCCTCCATTTCCTGAACATTTCCTTTTTCTCCCTTAGCTTATTCTGAATCTCTCGGTTAATCCACATCGGTTTCTAAGAGCCCTTACCAAATTTCAAATTTCCAGTTACCTTCTGAGAAATTAACTATTGAAAAATCCTAAAAAACATACCAAGTAAAAGCTAAAATTCTTTTACTGCAAATGTGTGTGTATGGTAAACTGTTCTTTAAAATCTGATATTTGCAGGTTATCTTGGAAGATGTTGCAATGCTGCATATTAAACCAGACCAGTTCACGTACACGTCTGATCATTTTGAGACAATAATGAAATATGCTGAGAAGCTTATTCGGGAAGGGAAGGCTTATGTAGATGACACACCAGCTGAACAAATGAAAATGGAACGAGAGCAGAGAATCGAATCCAAGCACAGGAATAACTGTAAGATGCTTTCTCTATCTTTTGTTATCTTTACTTTGTTAATGAAATTTCTCTGAAACTTATTAGTTGAATCTATCGCATCTAAGAGCTTCAGGTGTTGAATTAGTGTTTTAAAGTGACCTTGCCTGAGTTCTCACCCGCACTATTCCAGTGCCATCCTGAGCAGAGTTGCACCCTTCTGAGTTCATTGAAACCAGCGGGCTTAGAAGAGGGTATCTCTGCTTGAGATGGCAGTGTTAGTGACGTAGCTTGTAGCATGCAGTAGAGAGTTACTCTTTAAGCAATCTGTCTCTGAACAAGATTCTGAGAGAGAATTGGGGGGGGGGGGGACTAAAATAACACGATCCGCTTGCAGAAGGTCTCAGATTCAGTCAGTGGCATTTTCAGTTCAGTCTGGTAACAAGGCTGGGACAGATTTCTACCCAAGATCTTGTGGAGGTTGTCAGTCATGTGGGAACAGGGAGTGACTTGATTTGCTGTAAGGGAGCTTAGTGTGTGAACAAAAAATGTTCAGAGCACTGACATAATTTGACTCCTGATATAATTATTTGAATTTTAAATCTGGATTTACCATGACTTTCCTTTATGTAAAGTCCGATCTACCAGGAGAAACTGAAGAGACCAAATGTCACTTGAGAAAAGAATATTGCCACAAATAATTCTAGTTATAAATAGTGGCTTTAAATATGTTCTTGTTCAGAAGGACCTAACATTTGATTGAGAAAATACAGTATCAGAGCTGGGTTATTGAAGTATAATAATAACATCGCTAAGTATTTTCAGAATTCAAAGCACTTTATAACAGTTGTATATGGTAGGCCAGTATCATTATCCCTGTATTACATGGTGGTGGTGGTGGTGGGGAGACTGAAGCTGAGAGAGAGTAACTTCTTGAGAACACAGAAGTGAATTCTTGGTGGAGGTGAGATTTGAACAGGTGGTGAATGTGTATGCTATATGAACTGAATCCTTTCCATTCAACAGCTGTTGAGAAAAACTGGCAGATGTGGGAAGAAATGAAAAAAGGAACAGAATATGGGCAGACCTGTTGTCTACGAGCAAAAATTGACATGACTAGTAATAATGGATGTCTGAGGGATCCAACTCTTTATCGTTGTAAAAACCAGCCACACCCGCGTACGAGAAATAAGTACAAGTATGTATTCTGTTCAGAAAAAAAGTTTATTTTGCTTTCCATTCAGTGCTGTTTCCAGGGGATGCAGCCAGACCACCTGTAAAATAAAACGATCATTTGGTTTTCAAGTTTTAGAATTTGTTGCTGACAAATGCACTTGTTGAGTATTAAATAGTACAAAATGCATCATGAACAAGTGGAGAACAATGTGTTTAACTCTATAGGGATTGATCATTCTTCTTATGGTGGGATTGGGAGGAAAACTCAGGTTCTTGTGATCCCACCTTCTGTGTTTGGTATGATGGTGGGTGAATGAGTAAACTGGAGAGACTGGGCATTCATTTTAACATATAATCGCTCCAGTTGACTTGCTAACTTCCACAGATGGTTATTCACTGTCTACTGATATAGGAAAATGGTTTTCTTTATTTACAGTTTTAGTCAAAGCATTGACTGTTGAATTTAGTCTGTTTTTCCTTCTGTGCCCCCCCCCCCCAACTGCTGCTGTTCTGTCAGTGGGACAGAACTTTTTACAGTTTTTTAAAAGGTCATTGCAGACATTGGCTAAATGGATTTTACTGTCTGTAGTCAGTGTGGAGAGTTCTGTGCATAGTTTGATCTAAGGCCTACCTAATGACAAATGGTTGACCACTAGTTTAAAACATCTATTTCCAGCTGCATTGTGAGAAATTCAGCAGAGAAAAGACACTGAAATGATACCTTTATCCTTGACCTTGCACTGAAATGCTTCAAACCAAAGGATTATGAAGTTTAACAAAGTGGAACCGTTGCTATTTTTAGTTGTACTTTGTCTGATGAAAGGCAGTTTGTAGGTTGCTAGTTGTGCTCTGCTTTCATTTCTCATAGATATTTTTTTCAGTTTATAAACTCTCCTAAAAAGGAGAGAACTTTATTGCTTTTTATATTAGAAAGGGGGGAGGGTGTATAGCGGGGTAAAGAAAAGGTCGAGTGATGTTTCCATTAGTTTGTTAGTCTGTTAAAATTAGTAAAAAAAATTTCTTCTTTGGCTTCATTGTGGTGGTCAATCGTCTTTCATCATCTCAGTTAAAAGAATGTTAAAAAAAAAGGAATTAGTAGTGTCCCACTGTTAAACTGTTAATAAATGGCTTTTCAGACACCCTGCGAATTAGTTCTTCTATCTTCGGGCTGATTTCTTCTCCAAAACGACAGGGGAGGTCCTCCTCTACGCGCTCCTCTCCGTTTCACTGCTTCTCTTCCGGTCATCGCTTTCAGGTCACAGCATGCATTTGTCACTTTGCATCTCCCGATCCGCCTTCCCGATAAAGTCCCAAGCTTCCAGAACGATTTTTTCTCTTTTTTTTTGTCATTCGGCTTTAAAATAAACGCTGTCGTTCTCATAGCTAGGTCATTTATCCACATCTCCGTTTTAAGGGCATTTTCCTTTTTCATCGCTGCTTTCGCTTTTAAGGAACAAGCCCGCAAGAGGCAGTCACTCAAACCGGAAGATCCACCCTTCTTGTTACGCAGTTCTTATTTCAGCTCCGACATCTTTTTTCATTTTGTTTACATTAATCAAAGTTCACAGGGTGCACTTAGAAGGTAAATCAGCATCATTTTCTTTCAGCAAATCAATCGCCCGGTGACACCACCTTCCTCGACTTTCAGTCTCCCCCCCCTTTTCTCCGTGAAAATCTCTTTTAAACGGGAGTACCAGAGTATCTCCTCTTTCGCTTGGGGGGGGGGGGGACACAGCATGAGGGGAGCCTCAATTTCCGACCTTCTGGTCGAGAAAGTGGCTTTGCCCCTCGCACGCCCCGAGTCGGAGCCCCTTCTGGGGCTCGTCCGGGTCTCCACTTGTGCGGATCCCCCCCTCGGCCGCAGGTGGGTGAGACACCCTCGGGAGCGCCCCGAGGATGCATCCGCCATTCGCGGAAGCCGGACTGGAAGCCTTCTCATAGATATTTTTTTGACTTCACCCTAAAATTGCATTCAAATGAAAGCTTTGTATAGAATAAGACTTTGAGGAAAGCACAGTCTTACAGTCCTATTTTCCCTTTCTTACACTAATGTGCAGAGGGCAGCTGCAGGGGAAAATTGGTGAGGGGGAAGGAATGTGTACCCATTTCCTTGCTTATCAGTTCTACCCTGTGAATACCACCCCCCAAGGGTGTTTTCCTTGGTTGGGCTCTGAAAATGGGAGTGAGCTGGGGGAAAATATCCTGCAGGAATGGGACATCTTGCGGGCAAGAAGTGGCAGGCATGGGTGGGGCTGAGCACTTCTTCCTGTAGTTCTTCCCATAAATGTTCCATGTAACTGACAGGGAAATTTTTGAGGGTTCCAATGAGGGGTTCAAACAGAGACAGTGGACTTCAGTGGAAAATAATTTATTAAGTAGTTTGAACGGTTCAGCAAAAAAGAATTTATTAAGTAGTTCAAACTATAGAGGGATTCTTACCAAGGAAACTGAAAGTAAGTCTCCAAAGTTCTAACAGACACACCATGCTTTATATAGTATCATCTTTCACCTCTTGGTACCCTGTGAACTGTTCATTACATATTCACTATGTTTTCTATTAACATTTACTACATTTACCAATTATATTTCTTTAATGCACATTTCGGCACTTAATTACAAAGGCACACTAATCCTGAAGCTAACAGGCATTTTACTCAATGGTAAACAACTGTTTGTGGTAATGTTTTCATGTTCTAACTTCTGAATATTTCCCCGAGGCTAGGCTCAGGACAGACATCACCAAGTGTTTGTTTATCTTGAGTGCAGCACTAGAGTTCTACTTCAGGCAGGCACATTAATTCTTAATGTGACACCTTCTTATGATTCTAGCAGCATTTATGACATTAGCAGAATTCAGGAGGAGTTTAGGACATACAAAGATTTTAAGTTTTAAGGCACACAAGGGAATTGCTTTTGGTTAATTTCTCTGTCATAATCTTATACTTTATCTCTGCTATTGTAGGGCTGGGATATTTCCTCTGGAATGTGTGGTTTCCTCAAGAACAATTTTGCTTTGTTATAACTAATAAATAGAATCAAACTGACTCCACTGCTAGAAATGAAATGAAAAGAGAAACCGTTATATATTTGCTTTCTGTTTCTCCCTGCAGCACCCATTCTGGGAACTGCTAACTCATTCCACTGATGAAATGAGTTAGCAGTTCTCAGAATGGGTGCTGCAGGGAGAAACAGAAAGCAAAAATATAAATGATGAAATAACAGAAACAAATCTCAGCAACTGCACACCAGTGCCCATGATTACAACATAAGTTGCATAAGAACATAAGAGAAGCCAGTGCTGGCTTAGGCCAGTGGCCCATCCACTCCAACACTCTGTCACACAGTGGCCAAAAATACCAGGTGCCATCAGGAGGTCCATCGGGGGGCCAGGACACTAGAAGCCCTCCCACTGTCCCCCCCCCAAGCATCAAGAATACAGTGCATCGCCTGCCCCAGCCTGTGCGTTCCTATCTATACCTTGTGGCTAATAGCCACTGATGGACCTCTGCTCCATATGTTTATCTAATTCGCTCTTGAAGCTGTCCATGCTTGTAGCTGCCGCCTCCTCCTGTGGCAGAGAATTTCATGTCTTAATCACTCTTTGGGTGAAGAAGTACTTCCTTTCATCCTTTCTAACCCGACTGCTCATCAATTTCATTCAGTGCCCATGAGTTCTTGTATTGTGAGAAAGGGAGAAAAGTACCTCTTTCTCAACCTACTCTATCCCATGCATAATCTTGTAAACCTCTATCATATCACCCCTCAGTTGTTATTTCTCTAAGCTAAAGAGCCCCAAGCGTTTTAACCTTTCTTCATAGGGAAAGTGTTCCAACCCTTTGATCATTCTAGTTGCCCTTTTCTGCACTTTTTCCAATGCTATAATATCCTTTTTGAGGTGTGGTGACCAGAACAGTACACAGTACTCCAAATGAGGACGTACCATCGATTTATACCGGGGCATTATGATACTGGCTGATTTGCTTTCTTTCTTTTTCTTTTTTTTGAGCCCCCCATAGGGGATTATTTAATTTGCATTTCTAAAAACTACATACTAATAAACTAGAACGAAAATAGGGGAGGGTAAATACTTACTATGGGATAAAGTAAAGAAAGCCCACTAAAATCCCAAGAGATGGTGGTCATACATACTGCTTATCAAAATTAGCTTTTAGCTCTTTGTTCAATAACAATTCATTGACTGTGGACATATTGCTTTTAGCTTATATAGTAACTTAAACCACTTCTAGTTTTGACCTATTTTAAAAATCATTATAACAATTAATTACTAAAATATATAGAGTTTTCAAAGTGTAATAACATCTCATTTTTTCCTTATCCTTTTGTTTTCTCAAATGGTAGCTTGTCTTCGGGGCAACTGCCCCTAACTTAGAGTCCGGATCCTCGTCTGATTCTGTCGCTGCTCCTTCTTCTTCGCTTTCATTGGTTCTGTCTTCTTTCTCGGGTTCTTTCTCCCCTGGTGGGCGACTGTGAAGATACAAAAATTCTTGTGCCTTTTCAACAGAGTCAATTTTTTCTTTCTTATCCATAAATTTGAAGATTGTGCCTTCGGGTGTCATCCATCTGTAGGGAGCTTTTCTTTTGTAGGAATAGTACTAGGTCTCTGTATTTCCTCCTCCTCCTTTTTATTTCAAATGGTATGACCTTTAACACTTTTATTTCTTTGTCTTTGATTTTCAAGGTAGCTCCACTTGTCGCTTTGACAATTTGATCTCTCACTTGTCTTCTCGAGAATCTTACAATCACTTCCCCCGGCAGATTATTTTTTCTTATGAATTCTGGATAAGATCTGTAGATCATATCTATTTTACTTTGTAGTTTGTCCGCTTTTATATCTGCCAAAGGGATCACACATAGTCTGTTTCAGATTCTCAGTCTTATCTTTTGGCTTTTCTTATCGGGGGAGAATCCCCCTCCCGCCCCCGCTTTTAAAGGAAGTTTCTGGCTTAAATTTTCAGTGGTTCTTGCTTTAACTCACTCACAGTTCAACATTGAATCCGCTTTCCATTTAATTTTGCTCGGTCGCCAAGCACTTGTTCCGGTGTGCGATTCCTTTTCCCCTACGGGAAGCTCCACAGCGGGACCTTTGGGGCATGGAGGAGCCCCCCTTCTCTGGCTGGTTCGCCGGTGGAAGAGCTCGCTCTAGTGCCCCATGGCTAGGAACCCATTGCAAGGACTCCAGGGGTGGCGCGGATGATCGCGCCCCCTCCCAGCCGTTTGCTTTGGCTACTGTCTCCCAGAGGTCAGGAGAGAAGCAGTAGCCATGGCGAACGCCAAAACCGGAAGCTGGCTGATTTGTTTTCAATTCCCTTCCTAATAATCCCCAGCATAGCGTTGGCCTTTTTTTATTGCAGTCACACACTGTCTTGACATTTTCATTGAGTTACCTACTGCAACTCCAAGATCTCTCTCTTGGTCAGTTTCTGCCAGTTCAGACCCCATCAACGTGTATTTATAGTTAGGATTTTTGCTCCAATGTGCATCACTTTGCACTTGGCCACATTGAACCCCATTTGCCACGCTGATACCCACTCGCCCATCCTCGACAGATCCCTTTGGAGTGCCTCACAATCCTCCCTGGTTGTCACCACCCTGAACAACTTCGTGTCATCTGCAAATTTAGCCACTTCACTGCTTACTCCCAACTCCAAATCATTAATAAACAAGTTAAAAAGCATCAGACTGAGTACTGATCCCTGTGGTACCCCACTGCTTACCACCCTCCACTGAGAAAACTGCCCATTTATACTCACTCTCTGTTTCCTATTAATCAGCCAGTTTTTGATCCACAAAAGGACTTGTCCTTTTATCCCATGACTGCTGAGCTTACTTAGGAGCCTTTGATGAGGAACTTTATCAAAAGCTTTCTGGAAGTTAAGGTCATGCATCATGAAGAGAAACTTTTTGTTCTTGGCGCAAAGGTGGTGGAATACTCCTTCTTGCACTGTTATCATTACATATATTACAACAAGCTAATTCTCAAAGTCAGAAGTTGCTTATTTAATTTTAACGGTATATATAGTACTTAATGTTTAACATGTAAATAATAAACTTAAGCTGGGGTTTTTTGCTTATGTTTCAGTGTTTATCCCACATATGACTTTGCCTGTCCTATAGTTGATAGTATTGAAGGTGTTACTCATGCATTAAGAACAACAGAATATCATGACAGAGATGAGCAGTTCTACTGGATCATTGAAGCCCTTGGCATAAGGAAGCCCTACATCTGGGAGTATAGCCGTTTAAACCTCAACAACACTGTGCTGTCTAAAAGAAAGTTAACCTGGTTTGTCAATGAAGGGCTAGTGGACGGCTGGTAAGTTAAGGGCAAGAACCATATCACATATGTACAACAGATTATTTTAGTTCTCTCAGTTAGCTTCTGATGTGTGATCAGATCATTTTAATTATTAAAAAAATGTTTAATTAGTAGCCAGCTGATACAAACATAAAGATACTAGACTGGCAGCTGGACTGATGACCCATGTTTCTCTCTGTATATATACATGCAAATTATAATTCTAGGGCTATTTAGATTCTGAGTTAAATGAATGCATTCTGTTGCAGACTTTTAAGTCAAGGAAAAAGGCCCACTCTGTTGTTAACAGCATATTCCTTCTTGTATCTCTGAAGAGTCAGATTACCAAATGGGGTATACAAAATGTCAGAAACCTTCCCTACTATATAATGGTGAAGGCCTGTTCTTGGTTCTGCATAGCAAGGACTCTCTCCTTGTTGGTTTTATCCCAGCAGCAAATGCAGAGGAATGCATATTGGCATTGTAGCTTCCATATGGGAGTTTTTGGTGCACTTTCCTCCATCAGTTCTCCCAAAATGTCTGCCATTCTTGCAACTTATGTTTGTTGGACATTTTCTTCTTGTTTACCCTGGAAGGAAGAATAGCAATTAAATACGTATTTAAAATTAACCAGCATTAGAAATTTTAATGTTTAACATCCTTGGTTTATCTAGAAACCATCATTAGATTGTCAAGATGTAAAAGAGAAATTAAATAAAATGCTCCAAGTTCATACAAGAATATTTTTTTTGCTTGAAATTAGAACATTTGTGTGTTGTTTAAATGAAGTGTAAACTTCTCTGTTAGGGATGATCCCAGATTCCCAACCGTGCGTGGAGTACTGAGAAGAGGCATGACAGTTGAAGGACTGAAACAGTTTATTGCTGCACAGGTAGATGCTGTTTCCATGCTCTTCCACACTACTGGAATGTCCTTATAGATATTAGGTTGGATCCTATGTTTCCATGCATGCAGCAAGTTTTCAGAAGGAATTTTTATCACCCTCTACTTCTCCCTTGTACCTAGGGGTGCCAGCCTGGAGATCCCCTGGAATTACAACTGATCACCAGACTACAGAGATCAGTTCCCCTGGAGAAAAATGGATGCTTTGGAGGGTGGACTCTGTGGCACTGTACCCCACAGTGGTCCCCGTCCTCCCCAGGCTCCATCCCCAGATCTCCAGGGGTTTCCCAACGTGGATCTGGCAACCCTGTCCCCCATCCCCCACTGGGGGGGGGAGCTGGCAAACCTACTTGCACTCCTGCTGTTTAGTGTTTGGGGGGGGCGGGGACTGTAGAACAGTGTGCTTATTCATTCGGGGGTTGCGACTAGAAGAGGAACTGAACAGAAATGGCTTGCCCTCATCCTGCCTTCACGGCTAATTCAAAATGCGGATCTCTAAGAAAAGTTTGGGAAATCCACTTTTGTAATACTGGGTTTGTAGTCTTTTCGCATTTATTCAAATTCGTATTACTGTCTGTATTAGGGCTGCCAGCTCTGGGTTGGGAAATATCTGGAGATTTTGGGGGTGGAGCCTAAAAAGGGCCGGGTTTGGGGAGGGGAGGGGACTTCAGTGGGGTGTAAGTGGCCATTTTCTCTCCGGGTGAACTGACGTCTGCCGCCTGGAGATCAGCTGTAATAGCGGGAGATCTCCAGCCGCCACCTGGAGGTGGACAATGCTAGTCTGTCTCTGTCACGCTTTCCTGTGGCCGAGGAACAGAACCCAGGATTGGGTTTGCAGTTTGATCCATAGTGGTGGAAGTCAGTTGGGGCACCCCCCTTTGCTTTCTCCTCTGTAAGAGAATGTGGTGGTGGTGGTGGAAAGTCACTTATAGAGACCCCCACAAGGTTTTCAAGGCAAGAGACATTCAGAGGTGGTTAAAAATAGCTTCTCTCTAATTGTAGTGGGAAATTTCTGGAAATCTGGCACTGGAGCTGCAACTGAAAGTGAAAGTACGAACTACTGTTTGTATAGATCTGGGAGGAAACCCTGCCTCCTCCTGTTTTTTTCCCTTTTACTGGCATTTGGAGGCTGAGCTGCTTTTGTTCTTGCCAGCAAGCCTTTCAGTTAGTATCTGCTGTGTTGCTAACTAGATTGTTACTGGGGCAGCATCTCCACCCAATTTCAGGAACAAGTCTTAAAACATATGCTGTGGGGCAGAGACTACAGGCAAGGTCATGGGCGCTGTCCCTCCAGGGTGGATGTTTTGGTTAACTTTGTTTATATCTTCAGCCTTATATCTTATAGCAACAGAATACCTTTGGTAACTGTATTTACATGTGTGTTTGTATGTGGCTGCATCTGTTAGAGAGAACCTTGTTTAGAATCTCCTATAGATTTTCTGAAGTTACCTGCTCTCATTAAGTCTGATTAACTGATCTTTCAGTGCTGCTTGAGTTGAATTATTTGCGTCAAATGTTGATGGATTGTGGTATAAACTGTTGTCTTGTGCAGCTTGAAGTTTTTAAAACAGACTTATTGATAGTTGCAAGGTACAGAGAAATCTAGTAGAGCAGCAAAAGGAATTGTGTGATAACTTATTGCTCCTGGTTAGCTAACTTAACACTCTAGAAGCTGACAGGTGCCTCGATAAAGTCTCTGGACAGTTTTTCCTATATGGAATGTTTATTTATACTGTATTACTTTTTTAGGCAAAGGAGTGTATAATTCTGAGTTTATATGGTGTTTAGATTGAAATCTCACTATACTGGTCCAGATAAACACACCAGAGGCATTCAAATAAGGATGTTTGATGTTTGTTTAAAGCAGCTTGTACAGTTAATTGTATAAAAGAAGCCTGGTCTAATGAACAATCAATCCTTAAGGTAGATGCTGTCAGACTATAGGTTGAGAAACTCATTATTGTACTTTTCATTATATATTTTAACAAGATTAGATGAACAATACCTGTGGAATTATTTCAAGGCGTAGTCCTAAGGCTATAATATTATTTTCTTCTTTTTAAAATCTAATATATTTCACAGGGTTCTTCTCGGTCAGTTGTAAACATGGAATGGGATAAAATTTGGTCATTTAACAAAAAGGTATGTGCTTCTCCATTTTAGTGTGATGATAGTTCGGGTTGTGCTGGTAGCAAATCCAGCATTCTTTGGAATGCTCTTCAAAGAGTTGCAGTTGAGTATGTTGCATCATCCAGCTCATTTTCAGGAAAATGGAATGTCCCCTCTTGCTAACAAGGGCTAGCACTAATCTTGCTGATTTTTGCCAAACGAATACTGAATTGTTTTTCTTGGATTGTGTGGGAAGGTGATGGAATTTTGCTGATGTAAATCTGATATGAAAACTCTGCATTTCATTTTTCTGCTTTCAAGCTGCGAGCTATCTGTAAGAAGGTATTACTTAATGCTTTTTCTGCCTTAGCATATAGCTTACAGTATTGTAAGCATACGTAGCATAAGCCATCATTATGCAGCTTCTCATAGCATAAACACATTTGCTTACATAACAAGGGCTGTATATATTAACATATATATATCTTATACCCATCTTAAAATGCATTATTCCTGTTCCAAAGGGGGGTGGGGTGTCAGTCTTGATTTCTCAGTAGAAAAGAGAACGTCACTCCAAGTTACCTGATATTGTCTGTGCTGTCTTTCTGCATTGAATGTACTGAGAGCTTTAACTTTTTCTCTCTTAACACAGTCAGTAAAGCTCTCCTGTTCCTTAATTGAATTTCAAATAAGGAATACTGCATCTTGACATGGTTAGTTGCTTTTTGGCAGCAGGTGCTTGGACAGTATAATAAGGCGAACCGTTAGTGTCTGTCTGCACAACTCTGTGGATGTTCCCATTCTTTTAACTTGTGTCTGGATTCTTGCTTGTGTCAACCAGGCTATTTCCAGATTTAAGTGTTTGCTTGTCTGGCATGCATTTTGTATTTTCCTATAGCCCTTTCTATTTTTTTCTTCTTCATCTATATGAAGGATTATCAATTGGTTCTTTCTGTTGCTGCATAGGGTGACTTGTTTAAGTGTGAGGAAAATTTAAAGTTTAAGCTGTTGGGCTACTAATTTTTTCGTACTGTATATTGCCTGTCACAGTGCAGTCTGATTGGAGTGAAAGTGGAGACACTGAATTGTTCTGTAGGAATGAGTATTAGCCACATGAAACTGCAAAACAAATGGGTTGGTAACACTAAAGAAAAGCAGACTGTTATGAGATGTTACAAGAATATCCAAAATACCCTTATTCTCCATTACAGTAAAACTAGCAAACTCTGGGCCAAATTAAGGTACTTCTTTCTTGTGAGTAAGAGAATAATTTTGTACCTCTGCATGACTACTAAAAATGGGAAAGTTGCTGATAGATGGATCAAATTTATTAACTCTGGAGTGCATGGACCCACTGTGTTAGCAATCTGTTCATTTTTCTAGTGGGTAGGCAAAGGCATGAGTAATGATTGTGTCTGAAGTAGTTACAAGAATGTGACATCTGTACTGGATGTTAAGTAGGCAATCCTAGCCCTATATAAGCCAAAAAGCTGTGAAACATGTTTTTGTAACATTTTTGCTTGTCATATTCCAGTAGAGCAGGGGTGTCGAACTCATTTGTTACAAGGGCCAGATCTGACATAAATGGGACTTTGTGGGGCCAGGCCATGCGTGTCATAACATGTAATGCCAGGTAGCAGAGATATAAACTTTATAAAGGACACAAACACAATTAAATATATTTTTTTTACTTAAAATACAATATGCTTAAAACTCTTGCAATATTTTGTTTATTTAACAGTCTTCGATAACTGACACCTCCCAAACCTTCCCCCCGCCCAAAGATGCCTATTTAAAATGGAAAGGTGGGGGAATAGTGGGATTTGGCAGTGCAGTTTTTAAAATAAAACATCAAGAAAAAGTACAAGGATCACAGCAGAAACTAAAAATATAAAATGTTTTGAGCCTAGGAACAAAATGGCTGGGCATTGCCAGCTCCCCCCCCCCCTATACTCAGAGTGGCAGTGGCTCTTTCCAGTGTGATGTCCCCCTTTGGCTGTGGGTTCCCAGATTAGAGTACTCAGGCGCTCTTTCTCTGGTCCATTCAGCTTGGCTCAAAACATTAACCCTATATTTGCAAGGAGACCACTCATGCAAGCAACAGCTTTGGGTATACAAACACTGGAAACTGAAACTACTTGAGCTCCACTCAGTTGAAATACATTGCAGGACAGACAGAGTTGCAAAGAAAATGTGGAATGGATTTCCCATTAAGGTCTCTGGGCCCAGACAGACTACTCTTGGTCTGGAATGACAGCGACCAGAGTGAAATGACAGCCAGCAAACTGAAGAAGTTGAAGGAAATGCATCTTTTAACTATCTAGAACGGGCGTCTTTGCAAAGGCTGTTTGGAAAATGTTATGACTATGGGGACTCCTATCAAGTTGCACTGATTACATGGACTTTATGTCTTATCTTCTAAGGAGGAAACGTATCTTATGCCTTATCAGAGTTATTGTATGCACTTATTTTGTTGTTGTGACTTCACCAACTTTATATTTGTTAAATACAGTTTATATTTTGGCAATATCAGATGGTGTTTCTACTAGTGGAATTTGCATATCTGGGACCTTTGTGACGGTAGTTTTTCCCCCTTGTTGTTTGGATTCCCTGGGAGTAGCAGAAACATTCTGGGATTGGCATGAGGACCCCCAGAGTGAAATTCCATTCCCGGAATGCTGCTGCTACTCCCAGGGGCTGTCATTCCACTCTGCGCCCTGTCATTCCAGTCCCAGAATACAGATTCTATTGCTAGGGACTGTCATTCTGCTCTGGGGCTGTCATTCCAGTCCCAGAACACTGTTTCTACTGCTGGAAACAGTCCCAAATAGTCTATCTGGGTGCAGAGATCTTAATGGAAAAATCCATTCCGTATTTTCTTTGTAACTTTGCAAGCCCAGAAGGGCTTCCTGCCGAAGCAGGCAAAGACAAGATGGAGGGAGCTGGGAACTTCAGCAGCCTCAAGCTTCAAAGGGTGAAGACAGGAGGGGGGGAGAAAAGAGCTGCGGGCCTGATTAAAGCCATGGGCGGGTCACTTCTGGCCTGAAGTTTGACAGCCCTGAGTTAGAGTATTGTTACAGTAGTGGAAAGTTGGGAAAGCAGAATCTCTTGTTAAGAGCAGCTGTTTTCAACATAGGACGTAGAGAATTTTAAACTCCACTCTCTGATTCTTCTAACTCAGTATATGTATGTATTCTTTCTAGCTTTATATCTTCTATTTGTCTAAAACATTTACATATAGTACTGAGTAATAGGACATCACAAGATGGATTAGAAAGCCAGTAAAGTAGTAGATGTGACGAAAACAGGAAGAAAAATTGCTGGAAGAGGCTGTGCTTGAGTAAAGTACATAACCACCTCGCCCAGTCTGACAAAGCGGAGAAGCTCTTCTTAATTCATTGTTGTGATGTTGCCTTATTATAGTAGTCTAATACTGTTGTATTTAATAATGATTACATTGGAAAGTCTAGGTAACAGAATAACTTCATAGCCAATCTTTTTGTTTAATGGGGAAATATATCACATTTGTTGTTGTTGTTGTTTGTTTTTAAAAACACATAGTCATACCAATATATTAAAAGGGCTGATTCCCATTTGGCCTCTTCAGGCATGTACAAAGCACGTTTAAAGTTTCCTATATGAAAATATTATATCAGGATTGGTTCAGTTGAATCCACTATAGGAGCATCCTATGGAACTCTTCTGACCTACTCATGTATTGGTCTCAGAAAAAAGTTAACCCATCCAAGTCTGATGTAGCGTTTGTATGTGCGGATATTCGTTGCTGACCTGTGCTTGCTAAGGGTCATATTGAAAGATACTCAGAATCCCCCCCATATAGATTTAGTAAAGTCAGCAACAGTGCTCCCTCTAAGCTGTAGAGTCTTGTGAGCAAAAATTCTACTTTGTGAGCTACTGGCATTAAAGTTGTGAGCGAGCGATTTGGCTACTGAATAAATTAGTTTGCTCTGGAGCCATCCTTCCTGAGCTAAGACAAAAGCGTGTGAGCCAGAGGCTAAAAAACTGTGAGCTAGCTCACACTAACTCAGCTTAGAGGGAACACTGGTCAGCAATTGTCTGCTTCTTAATTAAAGGTTATTCCTTTTGAAAGGCAGAATTGCATATCTGTTGCTGGCTTTGTAGTTTATATTATCTTGCTTGTTTTACTGTTACAATTCAGATTCAAGCAAAACTAAAGTGCAATCAAATATGCAGTAACACAAAGAATACCAGTTAATATTCCTAAATAGTGTGTGTGTGTGTGTATATATATACTTTTTAGTTCACATGGCACTGATTTTCATCTGTTGTTGGAGAGCTGAATAGTTGTGATTACTTCTGGTTGTCGTTGGCATGTAGGTTATAGACCCAGTGGCACCTCGGCATACTGCTTTGCTGAAGGATGAAGTGGTCACAGTGAATATTCCTGAAGCTCAAGAAGAGATGAAAGAAGTGGCCAAACATCCAAAGGTTTGATGATCAGTTATTGGGTTATTTTGGGGGGGAGGGGAATTGTAACACTGTAAAACTGAGAACTGGGGTGGATTTTACAAGCCTGTCCTGAAGAAATATTCCAGACTCCCAAAGTATAATATAGAAAACAAAAGCTTGGTAGAATTCCTGGGTGTGTGAAGTTGGAAGGATGGCAGTGCTAATGTTGGGTGTGTGAATATGCACAAGGGCCACAGGTTCTTGGGTAGTGGGGTGGGCTGGCCCACCTAGATGAATGTGCACTGCCCCCACCAGGCTCAGTCGCCCTCAGTCTCCTCCTGCCGACCTCCATACTTACTCCTACTACAGGAGTGGAACTTGCTTCTCCCCTATAAAGACTCCCATGCAGAGCTTTTTCCCCCTTTCAAAGTGCAGGGGTTAGAAGAAGGGAAGGCTCTTCTTCATGGGCACAGGTAATGTTTGCCTATGAAGAAACAGTAGAGGAAGAGCCCCAGAGGGAGGTAACAAATGATTGACAGGTCTGATCAGTGCATCCTGTGGAAATAATTGACCAGTCAAGTCAGCAGTGGCAAATATGATGGTAGCTTGTTACTGCTGCTGCTGCTGCTTATGCTGCTGTTTTGGTTTCCTGCACTATTCTCTTAGGTGTTTGATTTTTTTTGTCAAAGTCTGTCTATGGAAACTGTAATTAAGTATATAAGTAACTAAGTAAATAAAGTCTGCTGTGTTTCTTTACGAGGAAGCTATTCACATTAATGTTTTCTTATAGGCATGGAACAGCAGTCACTGGGGATGTGGGGGGGAGGTATTTGTGAATTTCCTGCCTTGTGCAGGGGGTTGGACCAGATGACCCTGGAGGTACCTTCCAACTCTGTGATTCTGTTCTTGACACACTTGCACATTATTCCAGAGTGGATTATTTTCTGTCCAGTCAGTTAAAATCTAAACCAAATAACTGAGTCAGCTCTTCATCCTTTTCCTTCACAACATACAGAATGCTGAAGTTGGCTTGAAGCCTGTATGGTACAGTTCCAAAGTGCTGATCGAAGGACCTGATGCAGAGACCTTGACAGAAGGGGAGACTGTTACATTTATTAACTGGGGCAACATGGTCATTACCAAAATACACAAGTGAGTTTCTGGTCTTAAAGCAAATTTGCCATAAGTATTTCATTAACATCATGGGTAGTGTTGCTCAGTTAGTAAATTTAAGTTGTTGTGTTTTTCTGTGTATTGAAGAGAGTTTTTTAACCAGGACCCAGCATGTCACTGATATATTTTTGGAAGTTTTAAATTATTTCTTTGCAGAAAACACACTTAACCACAGTATCTGTCCTACTTTCTCTGTAGGAATTCCACAGGGAAAGTCACATCCATTGATGCTGCACTTAACTTGGAGAACAAAGACTACAAAAAAACTGCTAAGATTACCTGGTTAGCAGAAACCTCTCATGCACCTCTCATCCCAATAGTCTGTGTCACCTATGAACATTTGATCACCAAGCCTGTCCTAAGCAAAGATGAAGATTTCAAACAGTATGTCAACAGAGATAGCAAGGTAACTTACAGTAAAAACCCCTACACACACTGTTATGCTGTGAACTAGAGGTTTTACTTTTTGTACTGGCCTGCCAGCACCTTGGAGTCCAGAGTATATTCAAGTCCTGGTGCTATCTTTTATTTTGTTCTGACTTGGTAGATGTGCAGTTGTGATGATCTCTTAGATGCCGCTGAGATTTCAGGGGGGGGGGATTTACATTTCCCACTGGAGAGCCCCCCCCCCCGCCATTCCTGGGGGGTCCCCATTCTCCAGGAGCAGAAGCTGTGTGTTTTGGGAGTCTCACAGGAGGGAATTGCTGAAAATGCCCTTTCTCCCCTATGCCTACAGAAATCTAAGCAGAATCCATCCCATTAGCTTTCTGCTCATCTTGGATTTGAACTCTTATTCTATCCAGTATCTCTCCTTGTATATAATGCTGTTTTGGTGTGACTCTCTCCTGAACATTCCACGTGCTCCGAAATCAGTTAGGTCCCTGATCTGTCACTCAGGAGGTGTGCAAATCCCCTGGCCACCTTGCCTCGCTGCGTGGCCTCAGTCCCCCCTACAGAGCCGGTGGCCAGCATTTTACCCTCAGTCTGCAGGGAGCCACCAGACAGGATGGATGCTCCGGCGGGCAGAGGCTTACAAGCCCCAGGCCAATCCTGCTGGCACCACAGCATTCATCATTGGCCGAGGCCGATTGTAGGTAGCTGGATGCCCTGCCACTGGGCGGGGGTCGCCGGGGTGGAGGGCGGTGGAGGAGGCCCGCAGCACGCTGCCACCCGGACGGGCATGGAGGCAGTGGCAGGGCGTTCCATTGCCCCTCCACCCCAGGGTCTGGGGAGGGGGGAGAAACCGGGGACCGGAGGCCAATCCTCCCACTACCATGGCTGTCATCACCAGCTGAGGCTGAATCCACGTCACCACTCAGCCTGCGACCAGATGGGCCAGCGCACCGCTGGGGCAGAGAGCAGTGGAGGCGGCCCCGAGGCTGCTGCCACCCGGTTGGGAAGGGCTGACAGTGGTGGAGGCAGCTTGGAGGCTGCCGTGTGTAGCCGTGCAGGGAGCCAGTAGTGGGGTGTGCCGCCCCCCCCGGGTCTCGGGAGTGCGTAGAGAGCGGGGGCGCAGGGATGTGTCTGGTCTTTCTAGAGCTCGTTATATTGTTCCTACAACAGGCTTTGCTCGTAGTTTTATGATAATAGGCAGATTCAGTTTAGCATGTCTGTTCTCTTTGATTACAGCGAGAAGAGTTGATGTTAGGTGATCCTTGCCTTAAAGATCTGAAAAAGGGAGACATTATACAGCTTCAGAGAAGAGGCTTTTATATTTGTGATCAGCCATATGAGCCTATCAGGTGAGCGGTTGGAAACAAATATCTGTTCCCTATTACTCCATTTAATGTCAGTAAGACCTTTTGAGGTTTTTTCCTTTTACTGGCCGAAATTGGTGGATGGGTACAGCATTTTAAAGGTTCTGTGTAGTTTGGCCATGCTTATTGTTTGCCTGAGTTGCATTTTGGGATACAATACTGCTGTGTTTTGTGACGTTGGATGTGCCATTTCTTGGGATGTGAAAAATGTTCATGTAACATATTTCACTCAAATGATAGGTGCAGCCAATTGTTTCACTGGTCTGTCGTTTTGGGGCTGGGATGATGAAAGAACATCCATGTTGACCAGGCTTTCACAGTGATCCAGGTCTAGTCACATATGACTCTTTGGGGCAGGTGTGCATTTGATATGTTCAGGAATTCACATGCTGTTGAAAGCAGTGCAGTACAAATGGACACCATCCGCAGACAGATGAACATCTAAATGCAGATGTTGTCCTCCTTTGTTGCATTGCTTTCTCTAGGTCAGTGGTGGCGAACCTATGGCACGGGTGCCAGAGGTGGCATTCAGAGCCCTCCCTGTGGGCACGCGTGCCATCGCCCCAGCTAGGCCCAGACCATCATTAAAGTGTCAAATTCTCTGCCAAATAATTTTAAGTAAATGAAAGCATTTGGGATTGCTTTCCTTACTTTGTCTGGATCATCTTAAGTTAATCTATGAGTTGTTTTTTCTAAAGTAAAACCTCAGTATTAAAGTTAAATTGCCGTGTCGGCACTTTGCAATAAATAAGTGGGTTTTGGGTCGCAGTTTGGGCACTCAGTCTCTAAAAGGTTCACCGTTACTGCTCTAGGTTGTATGCATGCCCAGAATTGTATGCATATAACGTTATGCCACAAGATAGTCAGCTAAATATGATTAAGAAAAACAAACAAACACCTATTCATGCCCCACCCATCACTCCTGCCTCTTCTTTGTAAAAGGGGTATGAAAAATCCTTCAAGTGGTAGAGAGTCCTATTTCACAGAGGTCAAAAATGTTTGCAGAACCACAATCTTCCCCTCTCCCAATTTCAGCCCCACTCTAGATGATACTACAACTTGTTAGACATTATGAAAATAGGTGTGTTTATTTGTCATTTCATTTGTAGCCCATTTCTCTCCAAAAAGGTTGAAGATGGATTGGAAAATTTAACAGCCAACAATAAACGTAATAAAATCCATCCAACAATAGTTAAAATCTATAATAATGTCCCTTTCAGAGAAATGCCCTCCTAAAAAGTTCCACTTTACACATTCTGTGAGATGCTACTAATATGGCCCTTCCTGACTGTGTCAGATAGGTTGTTCCACCAGGTGGAACTGACATAGAGAAGTAAAAATATGGACTTTGACTGTATGAGCTTTTAAGAGGGGACCCCCCCCCCACCTTTCAAAGATATGTATGATTCCTTTTTTAATTTTGTGTATAACTGGTAATTTTATCCATATCAATAGAGCAATCCGTATTAGACTGGACACAGTCCAATCTATTATTGGATTGAATACAATCTGTATTCTGAGAATGGACACAACATAGATGGAGTTGAGGACTTTTAAGCCTTCCGTGTTTCACATTCTTGATTGGGAATGAGAACCACGGAACTTGGTGAGACTTAACATGGGTAGGATTGGGTTGCATATCCACCCATCTTAAGCAAGGAAGAGCATGTATATGGTTAACACTCATCCATCGGAATTAGGGGGTCTTAGAAGTGTTTGTATTTTTTTAACTGTTTTTAATCTTCTGAATAATTTCAATCAATCAATATGAGATTACCATTTAGAAAACCTATTCATTTAATCTTTGCCTGTAGTCCATACAGTTGTAAAGAAGCCCCATGCATTTTGATTTATATCCCTGATGGGCACACAAAAGAAATGCCAACATCTGGATCTAAGGAGAAGTCTAAGGCAGAAACAGCAAATAAAGAGGTAAAGAAACCTAGTTTATATGGATGGTTGGTCAAGAGGGGCACTTTTGGAGGTTGCTTTACAGTGTAATCCTATGCAGAGTTACTCTAGTCTAAACCCAGGATTTCACTGAGGTCAGACTGGAGTAACTTTAAACAGGATATCACTGTTAGACTTCCTGGCGTCTCATATTTTCACCATTTTGTAAATCTTAAGTAAAAAAATCATTGCTGTCCTTCACTCTTCCGTATTAAGGTCTGTGTTAAGATGAAAAAGCATTGTAAAGATTACTTTATGTAAATCTTTGTGATATATAAAACATATCTTTAAAAGTATATTCTAGCCTCTAAGACCTCTTATTGATCTAGCCACAATTAATATACGTTTATGCCAGGGTTTAAATTGCTCAGAATGCATAATCAAAACAACATCCAATAAATATGCTACATTATCTATCTCCAGAGTTTCTATTTTGTTTTTGTCAAAAATGAGATAATTGTAATAACCATATACATACATGCACACACAGAAGAGAGTGGGATTTTTTTTTTACTAGAAATCGTGATTGAAACTCTTCCTTTCATCCAGTTGATTAAGTGCACTGTATAAAAGAGTACATTTCCTTTTCAAAGACCAGCACTGCATTGAAAGGACAACCTGCTCCATATCTGGCTGAAGTTTCTACTCCAGAGATCCCCACCACCAATCTGGACAGCAGAGCTCTTTATGATAATGTAGCTGCACAAGGTGAAGTGGTTCGAAAACTGAAAGCAGAGAAAGCACCCAAGGTTAGTCTGCTGAGGAATTCCATCAGGGAGTGGTATTTTATCCTTTTATGAGATAAGTGGTAAATCAGAGTTGTTTAACTTATATACAACACTTCTCCGTTTTAAAAAAAATCCCAAAGAGATTTACAGTGCAGTTCTAAGGAGAGTTACTACAGTCTAAGCCCATTGAAATGAATGAGCTCAGACTGGAGTAACTCGTTTAGGATTGCACTGTAATATCACCAAAATACAGCACAAAGTCTGTCAATGAAATTTAATCTGAACTTCAAACGTTTTTGCATTTCTGTGATGCCACAGTTGTATTTATAGTGCATGTGATCTTTGAGCAGAATATTTGTATCCTAGGTGTTCTTTTAAATTCACATATACATCAAGGATATATGTGGCATTTGATAGCATATCTCCAGTGAGTTACTTAACATTACCAAAACTCTGAACAGGTTTTTTTGTGTGAGACAAACAAGAAAACGTGTCGATTGAAATTTATGCAAAGTACATGCCAAAACACAGTCGTCATAGTGCTGTATTGGCCAGAACAATTCTAAACAGGAACCAGTAGTGACTAGTTTTGTATAAATGGTAGAAGCTTGTGCTTTGCCACCTCAGGTTGATATCTAGACGGAGGCAAAACCACTGCTAATTTCTATGGAAATTAAAGGTATAAGATATGGACAGTGGATGTTACTGCCTGTTGTCCCCTTTCCCTGTTATTGTTGAAGGAGGGACTGTTCAAACTGTCACTAACCAATGAAACTAGGAGCTAACAGGTACTATAAAGCTATGCAGTTTATGCCTCTTTTTTCCACAAGATTTCCTGATGGTAGTCATGTGGCCCAAAACACACACATGCATAAAAAGGTGTCTTTAATAAAGAACAGTTTGCAAATCAAAATACTATTTTTAACTGTGTGTTACATTTCAGTAGTATTTTCTCCAGTAAAGAGCAAGTTTAGGTTATTGTGAATGCCTTTTTGTCAACTTGGCTGTGTGCATACTAAAAATTGCATCTGTTCTGAGATCTTCATTTCTGTCTCGTCTTCTATAATGCTTCTTTCACTCCCTTTTTTTAGGAGCAGATAGATGCTGCTGTGAAACTGCTTCTAGCTCTAAAAGCAGAATATAAGCAAAAATCAGGGCAGGAATACAAACCTGGAAACCCACCCAAAAGTGTCCTTCCTAGTTCAACTCCTGTTGCTGCTTCTTCTCCTCTTCTTCCTCCTGCATCCCCCTGCCCGATAGACAGCAAAGGTCTTTATGATAAAGTAGCTGAACAAGGCGATGTGGTTCGTAGTCTTAAATCCAAGAAAGCTTCAAAGGTACAGTGGCCAGTCTGTAATAGCAACAATAGTAACACCTTCCTTTAAAAAAAAACAAAAAACCACTGTCAGTCCAACAAACATTTTGTTTGATTTCTCAGCATTTCATACTCTTTCATGCAAGAGGGATTATTTTGTTGTCCAGACATATCAAAATTAGTGGCATGCAGTTTTTTTTACCAGTATTTCTCGGTTCAGGTCTATTGGAAACCCCCCACACTTTTATATTTCTGAAAAATCCTGGATCCTGATACTGGCATGGTATTGGGATCCAGGATTTTTCAGAAATCCCGAATGTTTTCAGGTCCAGTAGACCCAAGAAGAAAAATATGGGTTAAAAAAACAACAACTAGCCCAGCCCTGGGGCCTGGCTTGTCTTCTCCTGCAGTGCGGTTTAAAAGATCTGTGTGCCTTGGGAGGTCTCTCTCCACCACATGCAGATCTGGCTGGGATGGCTTCTCCTGCAGCATGGTTTAAAGGATCTGCCATGCCACGGTTAGCAGATTTCTCCCTGCGGCACAGCAGCTTCTGGGGCTGTCCTGTCCTGCAGCCCGGGTTTAACTGAGCTGCACGAGAAGCCAGCTCCAAGCTGAGCCAGCAGGAACAGTCTGCTGCCCCCAGCTCAAGTGATCCTCAGGCTGTCTTCTGCAGTCACTCTAAACTTTCAAGGGACTGCAGTAGAAGCCCAATGAACATCTGAGAGCTGTTTTCGGATCTACTGGTAATTCCCAAATATATTCAGGATTTTTTTCGGGACATCCTAAGAAAACCGGGATACATTTGAGAAGCCGAAATATACTCTGAAAATACCAATAAGATATTTTTGGGGTATATTTACATTTTGGGTAGGTCCGAATGCACACCCCTCATCAAAATGTTGGTATGGATGGCAACAATTAAATGATAGTAGGAATTAATCAAATTTGGTAACAATAATAAGCTGTGATAATTCTCTGTTTTTATTGGCACACATCATCTTCAGTTTATGTTTCCAATATATGAAGAAGGCATGTGGTTTATAGGGCTTAATGCAAGTATTCAGATTTGTTCATGGCATGCCTGCCATTTGTTTCATTGAAGTTTATGTAAGAGAAATCCTGGTGAGTTGTGTGTCCAGAGTTTCTAGCCTTTCTTACTTCAAACATATGTTAGTGAGATAAATATGAATTGTTTGGAAATGAAGGCAGTTTTAATTATTCTCCTGTTAATATTTGGACAGTATAAATAAAGTGAACGAAAGCAAAGAATCCTCAATGAATTGTGTGCCCAGGATCTGGGAAGTCTGATTTTATTGAATTTGTGTTAAATCTCCTCCTGTTTCAAAATGTTCAGTGTGCCTTATGATCATAATGCATACATGAGAGTGAAAAAAACGTCATGGCAATATAGTACTTTGGTATTTTCCCCTCTCTTCCCTTGCTTCATGTCCTTCTGGTTTTTGGAAATATTTCTTCTCTTGCTGATCCCTTTTATTCTTTTCCTGATTCAGGATCAGATAGATGCTGCTGTGAAAGTGCTTCTTGCTCTAAAGGCAGAATATAAGCAAAAGACAGGCCAGTGTTATAAACCTGGGAATCCACCTGCAGCTCCTCTTTCCTCCTTGTCCTCTTGTGCCTCTGATCCTTCTCCTCCATTCTGCAATGGCCTGGCATCTTCTAGCCCCATAGACAGAAAAGCTCTGTACAATAAGGTAGCTGAACAAGGAGAGGTGGTGCGGAGACTCAAAGCCGAAAAGGTTTCCAAGGTATAATAGTGGTAAATATGTGCATTGGCATACACGTATCTATATATTCACCATTTTTAACATGAATAAATTCCCAATCATGGATAGAAATAGTTCCAAGTCCCTTGTGTGTACATGAACAATGCACAATGTGCAGGGGATTCTGGAGAGTCTGGGATTAATGGCCAATGCTTAGAAACCTGGATTTCATTGCATGTAAAACTAGTAGTGATAGACAGAGAAAGATCTGCAGAGGATAGATCAAAACTATTGCAGATTACCTGCAGGATTTTCATGCTGTGTGTTAAAGGAATATACAGGCAAGAGACAAGATGCATACCCCCCTGGAACATCTTGTTTATTGTTTTCCGTAGGATCAAGTGGATGAGGCTGTAAAACTCCTCCTTTCCCTGAAAGCAGAGTATAAAGACAAGACAGGTCAGGACTACAAACCAGGGCAGCCCCCCGCTTTTCAGGCACCTGCTGCGACTCAGCCAACATGCAGAGCAACCAGTGGCCCTGACACACCAGAAGCCAAAGCTCTCTTCAACAAGGTGGCTGCCCAAGGAGAGGTGGTCCGGAAATTAAAAGCAGAGAAGGCAGAAAAGGTAACATTCAGTGAACATTTCATGTATATGAATAGAATCTGGACATACATACCATTCATTTTTATTCATTGTTTATATTAACAACCCCAGAGTCTTGTGAGCAAAAATTCTACTTTGTGAGCTACTGGCATTAAAGTTGTGAGCAAGCATTGGCTACTGCATAAATTAGTTTGCTCTGAAGCCATCCTTCCTGAGATAAGACAAAAATGTGTGAGCCGGAGGCTAAAAAACTGAGCTAGCTCACACTAACTCGGTTTAGAGGGAACACTATCTCCCATGTATATAAGATGACCTGTGTTCACTGATGTGTTTTCTTAAAAATGCAGATATTTATGTAAAGTTTTTTACATGGCAACATATTCCCAGTTGTTGTTGTTGCAGAACTCATTTTTTAATATAAATCCTGCCGAAATCTACCAGGTACCTGGTATAACTAGTATAAACCAGTGGCTGTCTTCCTCCAAAGACTTAGGTTTCCCCACTTGTAGACCAGTCTGTCTTGACTGCACCTGTTCTCTTACCAAAATCCAGTACATGGAGTGGGAGGGAATCCTAAACCCATATTAAGATAAGGAAGAATGTATATTTAGGCTTAATTACATCTGGTGTAATTTTTTCTTTGGGTCAGCATCATTTGGGTAAGAGCTAGTTTGGTGTAGTGGTTAAGTGTGCGGACTCTAATCTGGGAAAACCGGGTTTGATTCCCCACTCCTCCACTTGCACCTGGCTTGATGACCTTGGGCAAGCCATAGTTCTGATAAGAGTTGTTCTTGAAAAAAAGAGCAGTTTCTGTCAAGAGCTCTCTCAGCCTCACAGGGTGTCTGTTGTGGGGAGGGGAAGGGAAGGGAAAGGAGTTTGTAAGCTGCTCTGAGACTCCCTTGGGTAGTGAAGGGCGGGGTATAAATCCAATCTCTTTTCTTCTTCTAAGGCTTCTTCTTCGTAAATATACATGTTTCTTTACAGAGCAGCAGGCAAATAACATAAGTACAGGTCATTCTCCAAAGAAATTACACTCTAAATTTTGGCAGTGGTGGAGGGAAGGTAGGAGAGCGCATGAAGCTGCATGAAACTATTGGTCCATCTAGCCCAGCACTGTCTGCAGTAATTGGCAGCTACTTTTCAAGGTCTTAAGCAGAATTTTTTCCCCCAGCCCTCTTGCCCAAGATCCTGTGAACTGGAGAAGCTGGTTATTGAATCTGAAACTTCCTGCATGCAAAGCATCTGATGGAATATTGAGCTACAAACTCTTAACAAAGAATAGTACCTATAGTCTGGCTTCAAAATATGAGAAATCAACTTGTAAACTAGCTTTCCTTTTAGTGCAACTATTTGTTTTTGTCTTCATTGGAGGCTGATTTTATTCTGATTATATAAATTAAATTGTAAATTAAGTATTTCTTATTTCATGTAGCATTTCACAAGCTCTTTGTAAATGGGAAGTCAGAGTTATCCAAAGGACTGTAAACAGTTTAGTCTGTTATTCATTTTGGAGGCTTCTCTAGATGTTCTCCAAGAGGTTCATATCTAACGACAATAACTACTGCACTTTACTCTTATTACAAAAAACAGTATGAAATAATAAAATCATAATGCATAGCCCTCTTCAAACATTTCAAAGTCTTGTTCCCTCTGAATTTCCTCCTTCAACATGAGTACTGTGACTTTGCTTTAGTCAACGTGTCAAGCATATTTTTGTCAGTCATTCAACCAGTACCTCTATTGGCAGTACTTACCTGGCAGAGGAGACACCTTGATCATATTTTTTTCCAGGTAAGGGATTACTTGCTTTGACATGGTCATGTTGTCTTTCCAAAGGCTACAGTTGATGCAGCAGTGCAAGATCTGCTTCAGTTGAAGGCGCAATACAAATCGCTAGCAGGGGTAGACTATAAGCCAGTCTCAGCAGCTGGTGGAGAAGACAAGGACAAGAAGAGCAAGGAGAAAGAGAACAAATCTGAAAAGCAGAATAAACAAGAGAAGGAGAACAGTGGCCAGAAGAAAGAAAGACAGAAGGATCAAGGTGGCAGCAGCAACCTGTCTTCCAGTGGACCAGGAGATGGTCAAGGACCGAAGAAACAAACCAGGTAACAAAAGTATGACCTTACTTCAGGTAGAGTCTGAACAACAAGGTAAATGGGTAAGCAGAACCTTCAGATTAGCACTGCATTATGTGAAGGATATAGCTAAGGCAGAAAGCCTTTTTCGGGTATTACAATGCTTTCTGCCCTGTAATTGTGCTTTCTAACTAGTATTACTTCTGCTATTATGTTGTTTGTTTAGTTCCAGTTATTTGCTGTAGTTTTTGTGAAACACAGCAGTGATTCATTCACTGCCTAGGCCTTTTACAATAAAGATGGTAGAGAAAGGCTTGATAAGGATGTAATAGAGTTAGTAGCAGAAAACATGGTGTTCACATTCAGTGTGGCAGTGTATTCTGAACTGCTGTACACACTCCAAATGGTGTAATGTCCGGTCCCCCACAGCTATTAATCCAATACACGTTTAGGCAAAGTAGTATTTTATTAAAGCCATGATAGAGCAGGAACAAGTTCACTGTCCAGAATGCCTGGGCCAGGGTGGGCCAGGAATAATGTAAGACATTCAAACAGGGTAACAACCAATAATCTCCATTCCCGCCAAGAGGGCAGACTCCAGGTTACGCGCTCAAAAGCCTGAGAAGCAATGTTCCTTAAAACCTAAACAATTACAGCTTCACACGGTGCAGTTCATTATACATTTGGCAAAGCAGCTCCCCCACACACCTGTTAACCTTGCAGATAAGCGTTGCCTAGCGTTTACAGACAGGAATGCATGAGACAAGATCATACACAGGGAAGATAGGGCATGCGCAGATGCCAGAGGGGGGGGGGGAACCGACTGCCTCCCAGTCTTCTATGGCAGCTAGCTGACATGTAGTTATATTACATGTATTACTTCTGATAGACTGTTGCTACCATTTTATTTGTGTGTAGCTTTTAAACATATGTCTGTGTGGTTCATATTTTAATTTTAAGCAAATTCAATATTTTAAGGCAGGATACTCAAAAACCTAGTGGGATTTTGTATTAACTCAGTGATGGTGGATGTACTGGTGGCAAACGTTTCTAAAACAATGCACCATCTATTAGGTGAGGAAAAAATCTTCAGGTACTCATTCTCATGTCGTACCTCATTCTATGTATCTAAAAAGTTTTAACTTAGTTTATGTTATACAAAACATGCTATGAAGAAAACTGAAATTCTGTGTGTGATCATGTATATGTGCGTTTTTTATTTTGGGATTTTGAGGGACTTGTACATAGTAAAGCAAAATCCTACTCATTAATGTTGAACACAACATGCTAATATTGAAGATACATTTATGTATTTTATTACTTTACAGAAGAACATAAGAGAAGCCAATGTTAGATCAGGCCAATGGCCCATCCAGTCCAGCACTCTGTCATACAGTAGCCAAAAATACCAGGTGCCATCAAGAGGTCCATCAGGGGGGCCAGGACACTAGAAGCCCTCCCACTGTTCCCCCCCCCCAAGCACCAAGAATATAGAGCATCACTTGCCCCAGACCGAGAGTTCCCACCTATACCTTGTGGCTAATAGCCAATGATGGGCTCTGCTCCATGTGTTTATCTAATTCGCTCTTGAAGCTGTCCATGCTTGTAGCTGCCGCCGCCTCCTGTGGCAGTGAATCCATGTCTTAATCTCTCTTTGGGTGAAGAAGTACTTCCTTTCATCCTTTCTAACCCGACTGCTCATAAATTTCATTCAGTGCCCATGAGTATTGTGAGAAAGGGAGAAAAGTACCTCTTTCTCAACCTGCTGTATCCCATGCATAATCTTGTAAACCTCTATCATGTCACCCCTCAGTTGTCATTTCTCCAAGCTAAAGAGCCCCAAGTGCGTTAACCTTTCTTCATAGGGAAAGTGTTCCAACCTTTTTATCATTCTAGTTGCCCTTTTCTGCACTTTTTCCAATTCCTTTCTTTTTTTTTAATTTAAAGTTTTTTATTGTTTTGAACAGTATTATACATAGTAACCAAAAACATATTACAGTGAGTTTCGTTACCTCCTATAACTGTTACATAACAATGAACAATACTTTCTTACAAACATTAGTAATCTGAAACAATTTACATTAAATATGTTATACATTGTGAACATGAAATACACTGTGCTATTTAACTTGTAATGTATTCCAAATGAGGTCTCACCATTGATTTATACAGGGGCGTTATGATACTGGCTGATTTGTTTTCAATTCCCTTCCTAATAATCCCCAACATAGCATTGGCCTTTTTTAATTGCAGTTGCGCACTGTTTCAACATTTTCAGTGAGTTATATACTATGACTCCAAGATCTCTCTCTTGGTCAGTCTCTGCCAGTTCGGACCTCATCAATGTGTATTTATAGTTAGGAATTTTGGCCCCAATGTGCTTCACTTTGCACGTGGCCACACTGAATTCCATTTGCCACGTTGACACCCACTCGCCCATCCATCTTTAATATCTCATGGAATACAAGACTAACATATGGTACCCAAGTATGCATTCAGACAGTTAGGCCCACCTTTTTTTTACAAGTTTGCATGTCATGTGACCATGATCTGAGCCCATATTGGAATAGTTTTCCTATAGATATTTTTGTTGACTTAGCATCTTTTCCCCTATGCTTCAATATGCAGATATGAGAATCAAATGCATATAGACTGTTTTCAGTGTTTTGTTTTTCTTCTTTTAAATATTCCAGATTGGGTTTAGAGGCTAAGAAGGAAGAGAATCTATCTGAATGGTACTCTCAGGCAAGTATATCTGGGTTTTAACTGAGAATTATTGCATGTAACTTTTCTTCAAAGTCATCTGTTCGAAGAACTGTGGAGTAAATTATATTGAGCAAATAATGGATTATTTCCCAAATTTTGTTCTGATCATTTATCTTTTGTCAGGAAATTGCTCATTATCCCAATATATATTTGTTTGATTCTGCCACATAACAGTGGAATGAATTTCATGACTCAGGTTTAACAACAGATTCTCAGTTACTGCTAATTGTTGTGAGGTAAAGGAATTGTGGCCAAAACACAAAAATAAACAATTATCCTATCCTAAACAGTCATCTTCAAAAATGCAACTTCACTTAAAGCAGCTGTTTGGAATTGTCCAAGAAATTGAATATCCAAATGCACTTAAATGTAGCTATTATCTTCTAGATGATCATGATTCTTACAAAAAGTTTTGTATTATCCAGGCTGACAGTCACTTTGACTACAATCCAGCATACAGTCCCATTGATATCAGTGAAATTCAATAGGCATACCTAACTGTGCTGGCTTCATTTTATACATAAATGAGGACCAAACTAAATTCCCCATTTTATCAGATGATTCTTTTTCTCTAATCTTTACAGAAATGAAATTGTTATATTCTGTACATTCTGGCATTTCTCCTGTGTACATTTAAACTTGCTGTTTGCAGTATTACATCCACCACATCAAAACCTTCTCATTTTTCTATGAAGGTGATCACAAAATCAGAGATGATTGAATACTATGATGTCAGTGGCTGCTACATTCTCCGTCCATGGGCTTATGCTGTGTGGGAAGCCATTAAGGAGTTCTTTGATACTGAAATCAAGAAACTTGGTGTGGAAAACTGTTACTTTCCCATGTTTGTGTCCCAGGCTGCGCTAGAAAAAGAGAAGACACATATTGCAGACTTTGCCCCAGAGGTAATGTTTGATGCTGCATTCTAATACGATATGGATTTTTTTTTAAATTGCAAAACTAGCCCTAAACAAAATATGACGTTCATTCATATGCCACTATGAAAGGGTAGTTGCAGGGGAATGCACCTTTAGAGCTGTTGTAGAGATTGAGCTGCGGTGGCTCAAGTGGTTAAGACGCTGAACTGCAGGCTGTGGAAGGTCAGTAGTTCAGTGGTTCAAGACCCGGGTGCCGCAAGACAGGGTGAGCTCCTGTCTCTAGTTCCAGCTCCTGCCAACCTAGCAGTTCGAAAGCAAGAAATTGCAAGTAGATAAATAGGGACCACATCGGTGGGAAGGTAACAGCGTTCCGTGCGCCTTGGTGTTTAGTCATGCCGGCCACATGACCACGGAAATGTCTTCGGACAGCGCTGGCTCTTCGGCTTTGAAACGGAGATGAGCACCGCAACCCTAGAGTCGGATTCGACTGGCTTTCGAGCAAGGGAACCTTTACCTTTACCTTTACCTAGAGATTGAGATGAATGGGGAGTGCGTGCAGTGGAGCTCTTTCCTGCATTCACTGAATCAGAGTGACGGTAAAAATGCATAAGGCAACTAGATATTTGTATAGTTACTTATATTAAATGACATTTCTAGTGAGGATGAAAATGATGTATTTTAAAAATGCAGCATTTTCTAAGAATTTACATTCATTTGTTTTAGGTTGCATGGGTTACACGGTCAGGCAAAACAGAGCTGGCTGAACCGATAGCTGTCCGTCCTACTAGCGAAACAGGTAAATGCATTAACTAAAGAGTCTTTCCCCTTTACGGCAAACTAGTGATGATGAATGTTGTGACGAGAACAGCTGATGATCATTGGACTGTCGGTTGTGGATTTGAAATACCTGAAATAAAATTTGTGTTTAGGAAAGAACTAAGCAGTTTGTCACAAGAAGTACCCTGCTTCCAGGATGCATGAAATGGAGAATCTTCTGTCATTCCATGTTTAATTATAAAAGCTTATCTTTGTTAGCTTTTTGGTGGTGGTGGTGGTGGTGGTGGTGGTGGTGGAAAGCGCAACCGACTTGTGAGGGCCCCGTAGGGTTTTCAAGGCAAGAGACATTGAGAGGTGGTTTGCCTTTTTAGGCTGACAAAAAAAATTAGGTTCTCAAAAGGAAAAGTGTTGTAATTTTCCTCTCCCCCTTCTTTTGTAGTGATGTATCCTGCCTATGCAAAGTGGGTTCAGTCACACAGGGATCTGCCAGTCAAACTTAATCAGTGGTGTAATGTGGTGGTAAGTACAGTTCATACTGTTACTGTTTGCTTTGTTATATGTTATATATATATATATATGGTATATATATATATGGTAATTACTTCCCCACCCCATTAGCGTTTTTTAAAATGTGAAAATTTTATTTCATTCCTAGTCTTTCATCCAACCTAATGTACTATTCCCTATAATTGTATAGAAATGCTGATAGTATCACAGGCCAATTAGCACAATCATTTGCATGGTAAGGCAGTGACCTTCATGCACTCCCTGTTGCATGGATCATGTGCATCAGGCATACCATATATTTGATTTCTCTGTTCCTTCTGTAATCAACAAAGAAGTGCAAGGACTGAAAAATCTCATGTATAGTATCAATAAAGGTAAAGGTTCCCTTGCTCGAAAGCCAGTCGAATCCGACTCTAGGGTTGCGGTGCTCATCTCCGTTTCAAAGCCGAAGAGCCAGCGCTGTCACTTGCAATTTCTTGCTTTCGAACTGCTAGGTTGGCAGGAGCTGGAACCAGAGACGGGAGCTCACTCGGTCATGCGGCACCCGGGTCTCGAACTGCTGAGCTACTGACCTTCCACAGCCTGCAGTTCAGCGTCTTAACCACTTGAGCCACCGCAGCAGTATCAATACATGCATGTTATACTTAATGCACATACTTTAGTCATTTGTGTCTCTTCAGATCTTATAATACGTCAGGATTTGTGATTGTGTAAAGCAGCTCTGATTTCATGTAGATATCTGTAGTTGAAGTAATCTACAGGTGATCTGCATTATCACAAAAATACAAGTGGGGACCCACAAGGACTTGTGGGAGGCATCTAATTTTTCCCTTCCCCACTATTCTTTCCCTTTCCTGAAACATCCTGTAGCCTCTTCCCTTTTCCTGCTTCTTTTTTTCCTTCTAGGGTTGCCAAACTCCAATTTGGGAAATTCTTGGAGATCTCCTGGAATCACAACAGATCTTCCAGCTACAGATATCAGTTCCCCCTTAGGGTTACCAGCTCCAGGTTGGGAAGTTTCTGGAGATTTGGGGGTGGAGGGCAAGGTTTCGGGAGGGAAGCAACCTCAGCAGGTTATGATGCCATAGAGTCCACCCTCCAAAGCAGCCATTTTTTCCAGACGAACTGACCTCTGTCATCTGGACAGCAGCTGCAATTCCAAATGATCTCCAGCCTCCACTTGGAGGTTGGCAACCGTAGTTCCCCTGGAAGAAATGGCAGCTCCCCAAACCCTGCTCTCCTCAGACACCACCACAAAATCTCCAGGACTTTCCCATCCTGTAGCTGGTAACCTTATGGCCTGGCACCAGTGAATCCTCCCTCAAAGGCCAAAATAGTCTTGGAAAGGACCCTGCTCTCTCCCCCTGCCTTTTTGCTCACTGAAACCCAACCTGGAATACTGTGTTTGCCTAGCAACAGCCATTGAGGGAATCACATGCTTAAAGCTACGGACACTCCTTTTATCATTTCGTTGGTTTTTTTAAAAAAAACCCTCCAAGATAGATAGATAGATTAGATAAAATAGATTAGATAGATATTTTATATTTTTCTGCAATCCTGGGGCCTTTTTCAGGTTTGTAGAAAGACTTATCTTGCCCGTTCATAGCTCTGGTCACTGGAGACTTGACCGACTTTATATTAGTATATAGATGCTATAAACAAAATTTGGTCCAAATCTTTGTTAGCTTTGTGGTGTGAATAGAGTTGTACCTTGCAACATCTGGACAGCTTTAATTTAATTTTATTTTTAACGACAAGTCTTTATTAATTTTCCAACAATACATAACAACATATAGGATTCTTTATACACATGGGATTTTTTTGTTCCAGTCAACAAATCCAATACACATCTATGCAGATTTCAACTAATTATCCCTTCTGTGCCTCATTCTCCAGCCCTGCATAAAATTTGAACCAAATATTCTTATATGTACATTCTTCTCTCCCTTGTAACCTCATTGTCAAGTTATCCATTTCTGCAATCTCTGTAAATTTTTCTATGAGTTCCTCCCTTTCTGGAATCGTTTCCAGCTTCCAATATTTTGCCAGGGTGATTCTTGCTGCAGTGAGCAAGTGGGTGGTTAGATGTTCATCTACTTTTTCCCAATTATCCGGCATTATGTTCAATAAAAATATCTCCGGAGCCATAGGAATTGGCTTTCTAAGAATGTGTACCATAATACTATGTATCTCTTTCCAAAACTTGAATTTTAGTACATGTCCACCAGACATGAAAATAGGTACCCTTCTCAGTTTTACATTTCCAGCACTTCTCCGATACATTGGAATAACACTTTGCTAACACGGCTGGGGCAAGGTGCCAGCGATGAAACATTTTAAAAAGATTTTCCTTCATGGCGGTTGCTTTCATTCTTTTCATATTTCTCCACATTTTCTCCCATTTGGCCCAGTCAATATTGTGCCCTATATTTTTAGCCCAACTTTAAATTCACATCATCTGATATATAATTGAAAATTAGAGTTTTGATCAGTGCTAATTTTTTTAAAATAAGCTTATTAACAAAGATCTGTAGCTTTAATACTGAATTACAAACTTTTTGTTTTTCTGCACTGAAGCGTTGGGAGTTCAAACATCCACAACCTTTCTTGCGAACTCGTGAATTCCTGTGGCAGGAGGGACACACGGCCTTCTCAACTTATGAAGAAGCAGCGGAAGAGGTAGACTTGCAGTGCCTTTGCTGAATGGCATTGTTTGTCTTTCAGCAATTTTAAAGGATGTTTATAGGAAGTAATTGCATAAGTAGGACTAGATTATTTGAGAAGTAGTGTGCTTTTATTGTGCTGCACCCATATTTTCCTGTTTGGGGTGATGGTGGTGGATGGCCTTACTTTGTAATTCACGATAGTTGCTCAAGAGGAAAAATTGAATGGTGGCTGTTCAGGACCAGTGGATAAACTTCTGTGTACATTCAAATAGTACAGTCTTTGTGTTCCTTTTTTTGCATATAAATTAAATCTGCATGTACTTTTATAGCATGTGTTTGTGTGTACTCACGGGTTGGATCCTACAGAAAAGCCTGCAAAAGCAGCTGGCAGAATATAAGAATGTAAAAGTAGCCATGCAAAATTAGACTGCGGGTCAGTCTTTTTCAGAGCGGTCAATCAGATACTACCGGAAAGCATATCAGCAAGGCCTGCATGCAGACAAAGCCCACCCCAGCATCCCAAGAACCTACTGGCCACACTTGGCTATCATGACTAGTAAGGTAAAGGTTTCCCTTGCTCGAAAGCTACTCAAATCCGACTCTAGGGGGTGGTGCTCATCTCCGTTTCCAAGCCAAAGAGCCAGCACTGTCCAAAGACATTTCCGTGGTCATGTGGCTGGCATGACTAAACGCCAAGGTGCACGGAATGCTGTTACCTTCCCACCGAAGTGGTGCCTATTCATCTACTTGCAGTTTCTTGCTTTCGAACTGTTAAGTTGGCAGGAGCTGGGGCCAGAGACGGGAGCTCACTCCGTCACATGGCACTTGGGTCTCAAACTGCTGAGCTCCAGACCTTCTGGTCTGCAGCTTCAGCATCTTAACCTCTGAGCCACCGTGGCCCCTTTTACCTTTTACCATGACTGGTAGCCAGTGATAAATCCGTTCTCCATGAATCTGTCCAGCTCGTGGCAGTGTGTTCCCAAGCCAGCTACCCACTGTGTGAAGTGGTACTTCCTCTAGTCTGTATTGAATGTATTGCAATCAACTTCTTAGGGCGACACCTAGTTCTAGTATTATGGGGGGGGGGAGGTCTCTTTCTAGCCACTTTCTCTACACTACGTATGCATCACATTGTATCATGTCACCACTCAGTCACCTTTTTTCTAAACAAAACGCTACAGATACTTTAAGTTTGCCCCATAGGGGAGGCGTTCCAACCCTGTGATAATTTTTTGCTGTTTTCTGCACTCTTCTTCTTTGCCTTGCCCCTCCGCAGCCAGCCTCTTACATATCCCGAAATCTTCTGCTGATGGTGAAAGGGTGCTCATAAACAAAATTACCCCCAGTACACAGAATTGCAGTGAGGAGGGGAAATTGCCTCCTCAGTCTGCTTCTCCTGGCAAGTTGTTTGCTTTAGCATTAGTAGAATTCTGTTTACAGCACTTAGCAGGGGATTTTTTGGAACTGGGGGCAGCTATGGAAAGGTCAAGGCAAGGAGGATCTGTTCTCCATAGGATCTGACTCATAGCAGTTTGTGAAGTTTTGTTGTCTTTCTATATTCAAATGATTTGGGGCTGTTCAATTATTTTAGTAACTGTGTTTCATTTCAGATAGTAGTTCAAACTGAAACTTAAATGTAATGTTGAATAATAGTGGGTTTTGCTTTTCCAGGGTGTAACACAAACAAAAATAGCTTTGAATGCCTGTTGGTCGTTTCTCCTCATTATTGGCACCTGGGCAGTCAATATATTTAAAGAATTATATGCTACTGATGGGGTAGACTGTCCATTTGACTTACAGGGAAGCCAATTACTCTAATGGTTAAGTGCACGGACTCTAATCTGGGAGAACTGGGTTTGATTCCCCACTCCTCCACTTGCAGCAGCTGGATGACCTTTGGCAAGCCATAGTTCTGTCAGAGCTGTCCTTGAACGAGCAGTTTCTGTCAGAGCTCTCTCAGCCCCACCTACCTCACAGGGTGTCTGTTGTGGGGAGGGGAAGGGAAAGGAGTTTGTGAGCTGCTCTGAGACTCTGAGTGAAGGGCGGGGTATAAATCCAATCTCTTCCTCCTCCTCCTCCTCCTCCTTTTCCTCCTGGTGGGCCACTGCCCTCGAGGGCTACTGGTTGGCCAGGAGCAAGGAGAGCCATGCTCCAGTAGCTCTGCCAGTGCTTCAAGGAGCCACTTGGTTGGGACCCATCGTCAGGAGTGACAATAGGTGTCAGCTGACAAATTGCCTCTTCCAGCACTGCTTCCACTTGGGGGAAAGATGCAGTGGTTGAACTAATGCCCACTGTGAGCCCCACTGATATTGTAATACTTCTATTTCCTAATCAAACTTTTAAGTAATATTTTTGAGCCACAAAAGTACATGGGTATCTTTGTTTCTCCTAACCCTTTAAATGATTTTAATTACTTATTCCAGGTATTGCAGATTCTTGATTTGTATGCTCGAGTGTATGAAGAGCTTCTGGCAATCCCTGTTGTGAAAGGAAGAAAAACAGAAAAAGAAAAGTTTGCAGGGGGAGATTATACAACCACTGTAGAGGCATTTATATCTGCCAGTGGGCGAGCTATCCAGGTATGTTGGAATACATAACTTTTGTACCAATTCTTGATGTACAGAAAGAAGAGATCTATGCTTTCTACACCTTTTTCCCCCCAGGGAGCAACCTCTCATCACTTGGGACAGAATTTTTCAAAGATGTTTGAGATTGTTTTTGAAGACCCCAGGGTCCCAGGAGAGAAACAGTTTGCATATCAGAACTCTTGGGGCATAACAACTCGGACCATCGGTGTGATGGCCATGATTCATGGAGATAACATGGGTTTGGTGCTGCCACCCAGAGTAGCTTGTGTTCAGGTGAGTAAAATCAAGTATTATACTAATATTGAACCTTTTTCCTCGTGCTGATGTTTCCATTTCATAGAATGATAGATATATATGCCATGGGTTGGAACCAATGAACCATGAATGGAATGGCTTAACGGAATGGATCTCTCGCCCTCCCTCCTGCAACTCCCCCCTTCTCCTCACACCACTACAGAAGCTGCCCCTGCAAATCAGGGGATCATTGTGAGTGGAATGGGGTGCAGTTAAAGATGCAGTAAGCAAGAAAAGGGATCTCCAGCAATGGCCTCCAAACCAATTCTTGTACAGTCTCTTTCTCCATTTGAGATGAGCTCACACAGGGTTCAGTGTGTGTGTGTATGTGTGTGTGTGTGTGTTATTTCTGCTGTTTTCCCTTAAGCTGTAGTCCCCTTACGTTCATTAATGTACCTAACTTTATTAATGTTGTATCATTATTCAGGTTGTGATTATTCCTTGTGGCATCACAAACGTGCTTTCGGAAGGAGATCGGGAAGCTCTGGTGGCAAAGTGTAATGAGTACCAAAAGCGATTGCACGGTGCAAACATCCGTGTACGTGTTGACTTGAGAGAAAATTATTCACCTGGCTGGAAATTCAATCACTGGGAGCTTAAGGTAAATGTTGCTTCAGTTTGGCTCTCTTTGATTGCTTGCTTGTTGTCAGGCTTTCTTCAGAGATGTAATTTGGAGCCCCGGCAGCAGATGTAGAAGAATGTAGGAGTCACCAGTTATCTGCTCCGTTCTGACCTCTAGTGGAGAAAGCCAATAGAGCAATTGTTTATAAATGACGTGCCATTTGCAAGACCTGAGCACGGCTGTTAAATGACAGGATGTTTCGGAGGTCGTTAATTCATAGGCATCACCATAAGTCAGAAGTGACTTGACAGTACATAACACAAGTACACACATTTTGGTTGGTCTTAATAAATGACATTATGTGATTTTGGTTTTTGCATTTTGTTTGGAAAGGGTTATCTTTTGGTGGATGGGTGAAGGGGCTGGTAAAGTGAGAACTTGACTAGTCTGCTACTTTTCTCATGCAGGTAAAATACAGGGACTGTAGATCTGGCTTATCAACATTTTTCAAAGGATAACTTACCTTTTATCTCCTCTTACCATGTTAAACAAAAATCAGTATTTCTAATCCTCAGCATGAACCTGTCCCTGGATACTTAAATCCAGAGACTGGAGCCATCGACAGACAAGATGGATATTTTTAGAAACCTGCAAAAAGCTCAAGATTTGCAGAAAAATCTGAAATCTAAAAAATACATTGAGGAGTATTAACAGCCACCCTTAATAGAAGCAGCACCTGTAGCTTTAAGAAATGAAGGCCCTCAGTGGCCATTGCTAGGCAACCACAACTATATTGCCAACCTTCAAATCTTGATTTCTGTCAGTAAAAGGCAGGGGGGAGGGCTCTTTCCAGGGCTCTTTTAGCCTTTGAGGGAGGACTCATCAAGGCCGGGCCTGGCAACAATCACAGGCATCTCACTATGACACAACTGGTATGACTTAACCAGGGCTTGCTGCTTGGTATTGTTCAACAGTAGCTAGTCCACAAATGTGAGTGTGGTATAGTGGTTAGAGTTTCAGATCAGGATCTGGCTTTGATTCCTCGTTAGAGAGAAACTCTAACTCTGACAGAAAGTGCCGTTTTAAGGACAGCTCTGCCAGAACTATGGCTTGCCCAAGGTCATCCAGCAGGTGCAAGTGGAGGAGTGGGGAATCAAACCCGGTTCTCCAAGATTAGAGTCCATGCACTTAACCACTACACCAAACTGGTTCTCTTTGGGGAGGTGAGTACAGGGGAAAACAAGATAACCCCACATGTCCTTGCAGACTTCTCATCATGGAAATACACCTGTCCCTGTGGCCAACATCATGCAACTCAGCCACAAGGGGCTGTCGGGGAGGGAAAGGTAGGGGGGAGAGATAACAGTAGGTTAGCTTATGAGTGAGCAGTAGAGAAGGAATGGCTATGGGGGCTTTCAGGGAAGGGAAGGAAGAATTAGTGGGGGAGGGGGAAATGAGATGCCCCTCCTTCAAATCCTTGTGGGTCCCCTGTTTGTATTACACAGTTTTGGCCAGATGTAATTTTGTGAGTTTTGAATATAACCAAAATGAATCCCTTAGTTTGGTGTAGTGGTTAAGTGTGCGGACTCTAATCTGGGAGAACCAGGTTTGATTCCCCACTCCTCCACTTGCACCTGCTGATGTGACCTTGGGTCAGTCACAAGCTCTGGCACAGCTGTCCTTGAAAAAGAGCAGTTTGTGTCAGAGTTCTCTCAGCCCCACCCACCTCACAGGGTGTCTGTTGTGGGGAGGGGAAGGGAAAGGAGTTTGTAAGCCGCTCTGAGACTCCTTTGGATAGTGAAGGGCGGGGTATAAATCCAATCTCTTCTCTTCTTAATATGTTGTTTGTGATCTACATAACACAAAGAGGTATACAAAACTCTTTTTTGTGGTCTTTTGACTTTTAGGGTGTGCCAGTGAGGCTTGAAGTTGGACCACGAGATATGAAAAATTGTCAGTTTGTAGCTGTCAGAAGAGACACGGGAGAAAAGTTGACTTTTGCTGAAAATGAAGCAGTGGACCAACTCAGACATATTCTGGAAGAGATCCACAATAATCTTTATAACAGGTTAGACCTGGCACAAGCCATCTTCTATGACTATTATAAAGCACAAATTTCGTACTTTCCAGTCATCCTGTCATTGGGTTCCAAAGGGACAGTGAAACGTGAATTGTGAAAATTGAACAGAGAATCAATTCAAGCACAGTTCTTGATAACTAAACCTTTTCTTTGTCTGACTGTGTTGTGTGCATTCATATTGATCTCTGGATCATCACAATTTAACCTAATAGACTATGGGTTCATCATTCAAACTTCCTTGATGGGTGGAACTGTGGTGTGCCATTCTACAATTTAGAATGATGGCAATTTGTTCTTTGAATAGCTCAGTATGGGCTGAGGTGACGCACAAGCAGTCAGTCAAGAGCAGAATAGTATAAGCATAATGTAGACTATCCATTTTTCAAATAACTTTTGATTTGTTAGTAGTAGAGTAGAATATCCTTATGATTGTGAAAACTCAACTCCTTACGTGCTTGACTTAACATTAAAGACTTGGTTCTAAAGATAATAATTTTTGTAAATTCATGTTTCTGCATACCCTGATAGAATTTCTTCTTCTTTAGAGCTTCAGAAGACCTTAAAACCCATATGGTGGCAGTCAACACAATGGACGAGTTTCAGAGGGAGCTTGATTCAGGGAAGGTAAGGAGTGTTTTAAATAGGTTTGGAATCTTGTTCTCATTTACGGATGTTAAATTAGCATTGAAGACATGTGCATGCACATTGCTTTTAGTGGTTTGTGCTTATCTAAAACTATGCAATTATATGAGATATGTAGCACTATGTACTGCTTCAAAAATTTCCCTTGAAAGTCAGCTCACATTAGCTCTTCTACCACACATGGTAAACCCCATGCCGGCTGACAGTAGCCTAGAGGCTGTCCACATGAAAAACATCCATACATTCACAGTGCAGCATACAAGATGAGTCACGGCAACAAGTTAGTGGTGAAAGTCATACCACAAAAGTAATGTATGATCTGAGCCAGCTGAGCTCTGAGCAGGAGACAGAGCTGCTAGAGGGGTGAGTGTGTTTTTACTTGCTTTCAGCTGAGGGGATTCAGCTGAAGATACTGTGTGGGAGGACTGTGTTTGGGAGTTTGTGAAAGTGATTAGAGTTGTTGCAGAGTCCTGGCTGCTTGAGAGAGGGAGAGGAAGGGGCATTATTTGACTGTGATTGACTGTAATTCAGTATTTAAGAAAGCACCTTGCCAGAGGCACGAGCTTCTGGCATGAGCCGAAGGGCGAGCTAAAGGGCTCTTTGCCTGTGGCTCTTAGCCTAGGGACCCTTAGACTAGGGGCTCTGTAAGAAGCCCAAGAAGAGCTAGAAAGCCAAGGCCCTAGGCTCTTTGTCTTCCCCATAAGGTAAGTTGACTTCGACAAGAAAAACCACATAAATACAAAGGGTTTTAAAAGGGGGATTATATTACTTATTTTAAAAGAATTATGAAGCCAGAATGCCAGCAGGGGGTTGGGGGGTATCCAGTGTTTAGCACGGAGTGTCACATGTATGACTATCTGTCCACTGGACAGAAGTCTTGGGTGTGTGCTCGGTGCAAGGAACTCCTGGTTCTCAGGGAATGTGCTTGCTCCCTTGAGGCCAAGGTGGCTGACCTGGAGAAGCAGAGACAGTCAGTTAGGTGCACAGGAAAGACTCTTGGGGACTTCATAGATATGTCCCACTCT